AAGCTTTGCTTGGAAGAGTAGGGTTTTTTCAGCACTGTGAAATTCAAGATGATGGTACAGGGTTGAAAGAAAAGAGATGACATTTCTGCTGAAGGGATTCTTACGCACATTATGTAGGAGGAAGAGTCACAGAATTTTAACTGCTGACCTACACAGGGTCAGGTTTGTGGTTCAGGCACAAGAACAGGGCTAGTGCTTCTAGGGGATCTGTGGCAGGATGTGAGACCTGAGCAGCGGCATCTGAGACATGATTCATAGGGTATGTTGCAAAACAGTGCACGCTGCAGGAATCCGAGATGTTCAAGTGCAACAAATGGATCAGCAAAAAACTAGTTGTTCTTCAGAGTGGTCCTCTGTTTCTGCCCATTTTCAATTTCTTAAAATCTTTTAACGAGGACACCAGAATTATAGAACAAGGCATTAAAGCTACTGTTGGTCCTGATGTTACATTCTTCCACAGCTTGCTAGCTCACAATAAACCCCAAAGTTACTAGATCTTATAGTTACAGCGTGATATAAGAAGTTTGTGTTGGATTGCTTGTTTACTATTCAGCACAGCTTCATTCAGAGCCCTCTTACTATTTATTCCCATAGGTGTGACCTTGTATTTGGCTGTATCTGAACGGTTCCATTTAGGAGGTGTAAGTCGGAGCACAACCAGGCCACCCCTAGCTGACCATGGTGACCCCACCCTGGCTGTCTGAGCTGCTCATCCATCACTTCTTGAATAACTCTGTTTACAGCCCAGAATTTTAAGTTAAAGTCTCATTGTTTGCCTTCAAAATGCAGTGATGACTGCTTATGAGCTCTCAGGCATTTGTAAAGCTGGAATAAGACCAACGCAGCTGCCACTAACCTTCCCAGTTGTTCCAGGCTAAGCCATTCCTTCTTCTCCATCAGAGCCTTCGGTAAGTGAACCTCTCTGTTCTGACCTCTCTCCCCTCAGACCTACGTATAACTCTTCCAGGCTCTGAGTCATACACAGTTTTTATTCACAGAGATTTTATATTGACTTTCTAATCATTACTACAAATCCTGAATAGCATTGGTTCTGCTTTTGATTTCTGCACAATCATCTAGAATCAACTCCACTGATTGATAATTCCTTTTGAGCCATGTCAGTCACCCCATATTTGACACATGCAGAGTAAGCTTTCTTCATAGAATACAATCTCAACTTTCCATAAAAATAACTGAGAACTATCCATGTATATTATATTGGCACCATTACTGTTATGAGCAACTTTGTAATTTAACAAGAAATTTAACAATTTTTTTTCAAAAAAGCCACATCAGCTGCTACTGCCATATTCCAACCTTGTAATTCCTTATTGCATCCTGTATCAGTATTAGTATGTATTTAGTGTCTGTGATTGATGTCAGCTGAGTCTATTATTATTTGTGTTCTCTTTTGTCCAATTTGAATACTTGTAGTCAGTCTTCATGTCTTGCAGAATTTCTGCAATAATTTAAGCTTTATTAAAAACTTAATATGGTTTCATGCTTCCTAAGATCACACATGCAAACTCCCTTAGGACTCACAAATTCCAGTTCTTTAGGACCTGCGTAATTTAAAATGTTTCTCTCTAAGCAAAGTTGTTCAATCTCCTTCTTAATAATGATCAGGAAGGCACTTAGTTATCATCATATGATACAAATACATCATACATTCTTTCTAGTATAGAACAAATCTATTTGTTAAACAGTTCTACTTTTTTGTATCAATATCAACATTTTTTAAAAAATCTAGATAGAATAGACCAATAATAGCATTAAGATTTAGAAAACTAGAGCTGTTCCTAAAACTACTGACCATGCATATTCCTTGATGTTCTCATGCATTTTTCTACGCTTTATAACTTTTAATGAATTCTAGGTTTGCCTTTTTTCTACTTCTTTTATAAATTTATTTCAAACTGCTGTGCTCACTTCCCCACTACACTACAAACGTATTTTCTAAATCTCCCCTCCCAATACCCTGACTTACTTCAGTCAATTTCTTCTTTAGAAACTCCTCCTACTTTGATACAGTTTTTCTATGTAATTTTTCTTTTCACTCAGTCATTCATTTTCCACACCTTTTTGGGGAACAAGTCCAATCATGCATCTTGGGAACAAGAAGATGTAGCCAGTGCCCATGTATGTGTATATAGTATGGCTTTGCATATACTTAATGTAGCCATATCTAAATACTCAGGCAAACCCTTTCATTCCAATAATTATCTTTACCATAATAAAGTCTGAAGTTGTTCATTTCCCTATTATATTTTTTTTTTTTTTACAGAAAATGATTAGCTCGAGTTTTTAGGCACTCTAATAATGCTTTAGAGTGTAGCTCCAAGTTATATGTCTAATGTGATGTTCCTCATAATAACAATGTAATTTTCTTTTCCAAAATTAAAAAAGAAAGAGTTATTTTGTTCTTTAGTATTGAATGCTGTTCAAGAGGCCCTCACTGATAAACCCATTTTAGGCTTATTCCTGTTACATTGATCCATTTGCAGTTACTTTCCTATGAATATGAGAAGTTGAAAACTGTATTCAATAGTCCATTTCCTCATTTATTATTCAATTCCTGGTGGGCCAAAACCTCTGCCAGGGCAAGGTCCCTGATTATTTACAGGAACTAAGGGAGCCTACGCTTTTAACTCAGTTAAGAATGGCTTCTCTTGGTCCCTGAACGTATTCCTTCTGGACACAGTCCTTCAAACCTCTGGAAATGGAGAGAAGGAATTGAGATGTGACTTGACACACTTTTGCCTTCTAACTCATGACACTAAAAAAAATAAACTGAGCGCTTTTTTCTTTCACAACTGCTTTTCAGCATGGGAAGTTGCCCTCAATGCCCAGCCTTTCTTCTGGAATCACTGGGGTGGAAACGTTAAAAAAAAATAAACCCCTTGGCAAACATAATGAGAATTGGGATACAACCTGGCAATTGGGTGCTGTTGTTGGGCTGAGCATTGTTCAGACTGATACCAAAATAATACAAAGCCAATGAAAAGAAGCTAAATATAAAATTTTCATAAAGCAAACTATGCAAACTGAAATCTGATCGAACTTCTTGTTTTCAATTCACAAAAAAAAGTGAAAGAATCAAAACTGCAGTGAACGGTGTCCTATGCTTAATCTGATGACCACAAGAGGGTACAATTTGAAAATTGTGAATGAGTGTAACAGTCCTGCGGAGGTTTCCTAAGTGACTTCAATCTTTTTCTAAGTCACAATAATCCCTCTCCAGAACCACCTAAGAGAAATTCTGGCACAGAGCCTCCCCAGGCACATCCCACAAAGGGCTCATGGGTCACAGAAGGCAGTCAAGGACCCCCTTTCTGTGAGTATTTCCCTTCATTAGGGCCCGTCATCTGCTGTTCTCAGACAACTGAAGCTTCCCAATCCTTTTGTTGCATTCAGAAGCAGCGGGGCCAGTACGTCAAGGGAGGTGATTCTGCCCCTCTGCTCTGGTGGGACCCCACTTGGAGTACTGTGTCCAGCTCTGGGGCCCTCAGCACAGGAAGGACAGGGACCTGTTGGAGAGGGTCCAGAGGAGGGCCACGAAGATGATCAGAGGGATGGAGCACCTCTCCTATGAGGACAGGAGTTGTTCAGCCTGGAGAAGAGAAGGCTCTGGGGAGACCTTAGAGCCCTTTCCAGCACCTAAAGGGGGCCTAGAGGAAAAATGGGGAGAGACTCTTTATCAGGGAGTATAGTGATAGGATGAGGGGTAATGGTTTTAAACTGAAAGAGGGGAGATGTAGATTAGATATTAGGAAGAAATTCTTGACTGTGAGGATGGTGAGGCACTGAAGCAGGTTGGCCAGAGAAGTTGTGGATGCCACATCCCTGGAGGTGTTCAAGGCCAGGCTGGATGGGGCTTTGAGCAACCTGCTGTAGAGGGAGGCGTCCCTGCCCATGGCGGTGGGGTTGGAACTTGATGATCTTTACAGTCCATTCCAATCTGAACCATTCTATGATTCTGTGATTAGCGGAGAACACCATTTGAAGAAGAACTGAGCACAACACCTTCACCTGCCTCATGGATGCCTGAGCAATTCTCTTGAAGACATTTGTATTTAGTCCTTATGCAGCAGAGCCAAGCCTGAAACAAAGACCAGATGGCTTCATGAGGAAACTGGGGGTACATTCTGGAACCAGAGACTGCCTTTCTCCCAGGGCCAGCGAAACAGAAGATGGGGAAAGGAAAGCAGTGCTTGACTGGAGGCTTCCTCATGACGTGTAATTAATTCTGGGGTGAAAGCTCATAGTATGTGGGTTAGGCTCAAACCAGCTCCTGTGGTAACAAGTATCAATACTTGTTTATACAACAGACTCACAGAATGGTTTGGGTTGGAAGGGACCTTTAATGGCCACCTAAAAAAAAACTTCCCTGCAATGAGCAGGGACGTCCTCAACTCGATCAGGTTGCTCAGAGACCCATCCAGCCTGGCCTTGAATGTTTCCAGGGATGGAGCATCTACCACCTCTCTGGGCAACCTGTTCACAGGAAGTTTTAAAGTATAAAATAAAAATAAATTGATGAAAATGAGCATATGAATGGCAATGAGCACCTATGTCTGTAGCATATCTAGAGTGTGCCCTGCAGTGGTATGTCTGTGGGGTCCCAAACACAGTAGTGGTTTTCCATATTTTAGGGAAATCAGTCAAGCACGTGCTGGCGTGTTGGCAGCAGCCTCAACAGCAGAGACTGCACAGCTAATGTCTGCGGCTGCAGCTGTGAGATCCTACCTCTGCCTGCGGGTACGATCCACCAGAACCTGCTTAACTTTTGGATCACTCAACAATGTGTGACAGGAACAAAATTTTAAAAATTTTGGGGAAAAAAATAAACCCGTTTTACCAGAGGACCGGCCCGGCCGCGCTGACAGAGCCGGGACACCCCGGCACGCGCTCTAGGGGCCGCTGGCCCTTTAAGTGCTGGCGGGAGGCCCCTGCCGCCGCCGGCCGGGAGACCCCGCGCCTCCAGTGAGAGGTGAGACCAAGATGGCGGCCGCGCAGTGACTGAGGCGGAGCCGGAGGGAGCCGGGCTGGACGGGCCGCACCGCGCCGTCGCTCGTCCCCCTCGGTAGGGCAGAGCGCCTCGCTGCCGGCCGGGTTGCTGAGTGCCTGGAGTCCGGCCACGTCGCGGGGCGCGGTGAGGAGCTGGAACTGAGCCGCCGCAGCACCGGGAGGAGGAGGAGGAGGAGGAGGAAGAAGAATATGGCGGCGGAATCGGTCTGGGAGTGAAGCCGCCGCCTGCGACGGGAGCCCATGGGGGAGACGGGGCGCTGAGCCCGCCCGCTTCATCCCGCCCCGGGACAGGCAGTGTCCGCAGGCCCCGGCTGGCCCGGCGGGAAGGACGGCGGCTCCTCGCAGCCCCCGCGCTAACGGACGGCGAGCGAGGGGCTTCGGGCCTGGGCTGCCGTTGCACAATAGAGCCGAGCTCCGGGCCGGGGCGAGCGGCCCCTCTCCCCCCTGCCTCCCCCCGCCTGCTTCAGCCCGGCCTCGCCGGCCTCCCGCCTGCTTCCCTCGGCAGGGCCTCGGCCTCCAGGGTCGCCGGCTCCTGTCACCCCGGGCCGGCCGCGCGTTGCTGCCCGTGGCATCTGCTGTCCGCCGCTGCTTCCACTCCCGTGGATCCTCTTCTCCTCTAGGATCCCTTCTTCACCGCCTCTCCTGCCTGCCTTTCATCCTGCAAAGAGCCTCTTTCTGCGGCTCTCCCCTGCGTGGGCTTACTCGCCTTTTGTGCAGCGCCTGACTGTGCCTGGAGCAGCTCCCCTTTCGCATCTTCATCTCTTTTCTTATTCCTCCTCTTCCCCTGCGCCCCCCAATCCTGTTACCCTCGATAATGAGGATCCCGTTGGAGCACTGAAGAGGAGTAAGAAGAGCTTGCCTGGCGTGCCTCTGTGGGGCTGCTACCTTCTTTCCCGCTCCCCTCCTTTGAGGGGGGCCTAGCCCCCGACCAGCCTCCTGCTCCTCCAGCGATTGCAAGCCAGAGTGGTGGCTGCGGTGTGGCAGGCGGCAGGATGACTGATACCCGGCGGAGGGGGAAGGTTTACACGCTAAATGAGGACCGCCAGTGGGATGATCGAGGCACAGGGCATGTGTCCTCATGCTACGTGGAGAGGCTGAAGGGCATGTCCCTGCTAGTCAGGGCAGAGAGTGATGGTAAGTGTGTATGTCTGAAGGTACATTCTTTTCTCATCCTACCCAGAAAAGGAACTGGGCTTATCTTAGTGTCTGTTGCCTCAGTGTTTTGCTGTGTAATTCAAGGGTGATTCCTAAAAGCAAGTTGGCACTAACCATAGTTCATTCGTGTTAGGCCAAGTGAAAGAAATGGAAGGTTGCCATCAAGTGTGAGCGTAGTAGGCTCTTGATTCGTAGTGAGTACATAGTGTTGCATACAAAATGTGTCCAGGTCTTGTAAATCTTGTATGGGTTTGGATATCTAGTGATCTATCGTTAGGTGCCCAAAGTACTCCAGTTTCAAAACTGATTGTGATGTATCCTTCCTTAGATGTTTCTGGAAATGATCCCTCGTGAAAGGAGTTGTTCAAAACTTAGATCATGTTTTTTTAGTATGAATTATTAAAAGGTCATTGGATGGCGAACACACCTTTTTTCTTTTTTTTTTCCTCCCCTCTTTCTAGCAAGAATTATTCAAGACGGTCTAAAAGCTATCAACAGTTATCAAAGTATAGTTGTGAATGGTAGTAAAGACAATACAATGGACAGAGCAGCCTTTTCAGAGATGCTTTTTTCTTTATGGAGTAGTAGTTTTCAGTCCTTCAGCAGTTATAGATCTTCTGTAAAAAAGTTTTAAACAATGCATTATCAATTTCCTTCACATTTTCTGACAACATATGACAATAGTGTAGGTTAAGTAGCCCCTGAAGCTCCATGTTTGGGCTAGTCTTCATTATTGGTTAGCTGAGTTCGTCACTGCTATGATCAGAGTAGATTTTAAAATATGTAATTTGCAATACCTGGCATGTACCATTTTGGTAGCAAAGTCATTGCATGACTTATTACTTAATTAGATATATAGCTACCGTATCTAGTGACTTGTGGGTCTAGTTGTAGCTTGTGACTGTCAACAGACCTTGGAATTTTGTTTATTTGGCTTTCTCATTGTAGTAACTAGGATGAAAAGCAACTTGAGAATCATTAATTCTTACTGTTTGGGAAAGTTCTGACAAACTACAATAATGTCTACAGTTATGTTAATCATGAACTGATAGCAGGAATCAAACTTTAAGCAGGATTTGATAATTGAGCTTCTGATAGGCATGAATCTCAAGGTTTTGTAGTTCTATGATTATGCTTAAAAAAGCTAAATTGATACTTGATTTTATTTATTTTACACTGAAGAAGATGTATTTATAGTTTGTCCAATTTAGTAGTGTAAGAGAAAACATTAAAAATGGAAATGGACTTAGTTTACTTTCAACAGGAGGGAGGGAGGTGAAAAGAAGGTTATCGCTACATTTTTAGGCTGATCTTACAGTGTATTTTGTTGTAGGTAAAAGCCCTTTCTACATGGTTGCTATGCTCATTTTTAAAAAACTGACATGTCTTCTATACTCTAAAGAATTTACTGATTATTTTTTTTAATTCTTTTTAGAAAAGCAAAAGAACTGCAGTTCATAACCTGCTTGTGAAGAAATTGCCCATTCAAACTAAAATCCCTTTATTAACTTTCAGTGGGATATGTACTCTTCAGACTGATTAGAACCTGAATTGGACTGTTGTTGGCAGTTTATTTGTTCTAAGTGAACATCTGTAAGCAGGAAAATACAAATTGGTATAAATGATCCCAAAACAAAGATGAAGATGTTACTTTGTGTTGCATAGCTAAGATACTCTAATCAAAGCAGAACTGGCTCAAAGTTACTCATTGCACCTAATACACAGGAATATATTCAATAGGATACACACATTAAACCTCTCATACAGCATACTTATACTCCAAGAGTATTAAATAATACACAGAGCTTAAGTTCTTAATTTAGTAGGCAGTATCAGTTCTGGGTAAATTTGCACTCTATTAATAGGCTAGTTTTTCTAACTTTCTTGTGTAAACACCTCAAAGTTTGATTTGTATCTTGTTTACTCCCAGTGTCAATTGGTTTTAGGCTAATTTTGAAGGCAAATGCAGTCATTTTTATGTGTGAGCAGCAAATGGTTTGGAAAAAGGTAACGCCAGACTAGTGTTTTAGGTACTATGCAATTTGTGTTGTCCTTACCTACGTGAAGTGGTTGACTGTGATTTATTTTTTTTTCCCCCTAGTTATCAAAAACATACAAGTACTAGGAACCTGACCTATACACCATTTGTCTCCATGTTTCCATTGCGTTCTTGTATTGTCTTTCTTTGTCAGCTCCTCCTCTTTCCACAATGAAACTTCTTCCTTCCTCCTTTTCTAAACCAGCTTTTCCTAGCCTTTGAGCAGAGATCCATCCTGTGCAGGCTGGCGTGTTCTTGCTGACTTACTCCAGGAAGCTGACCCAAAACCTCGGGATCTGCCTGAAGTCGAGGGCTCCGTTTCCTGAGTGGGGGAGGCCCGTGGGGGAGCGTTAGCAGTAGTTCCTGCTGTGTCTGGGAAATTCCCACTCCTGTTTAAGGGCCAGTTCGGCTGTGCACAGAGCAACAGCAGAATTGCCAGAGGTTCATTTGGCTGGCCGTGTGGGCTAGCACATAGTTCAGGCTTTAGATTGTGCAGCTGTGGCTTGGTGTAGCTCCATGGCTGCTCTACAAGTGGTTGAGATTTTATGGCGGGGTCAGGGTGTGCAGATAGGGGAACTGCAGTCTGTACGCCAAGTCCAAGGTGAACTATCATCTGGAATTGGAGCAATAAGAATTGAATAAGAGTGCAATTTTTTTCATCTATAGGAGTGTTTTTTTTTTCTTGGATTAGTGTTTCTTTAACACCATCTTTAAAAAAATAAAAACTTGGAGCAGATGAGTGATTATTTTTTTTTAATCACTTTAAGTGATTAAAAAGTAATTAAGTGAATTTTAAGTCATTGCAAGCAATTTGGAGTAATCTGTTACAGTACAGAAGTATCATAAACTGCTTTCAGATCAGATATATTATGCTTTGAAACAGGGAATTGTATTTTTTTCTTTTTTTTGCACTTAAACAACTGTTAACTTTTTTACTTAAAACCCTGAAAAGTTTCTCTGTGTGATTCTTGGTTGCAGCATATCCTACTTGAGTTGCAGTAGGCAGAAGTGAACTCTTTTAAAAATGATCACCTTCCACGTGAGTTCTGTGTGTAATCAGAAGCTTTTGATTTCTTACCTGTTTCTCACATGGTATTTTAGCCTGCTGTGGCCCTCCTCATTCTTAAAATGTCTCTGTGCTTCTAGATTTTCACTGAATGGTTTCAGATCCCTCTTTTTGTTTCTAAGCACAGATGACTGAAGTGACCTCTAAAATGAACGTTTCTGTTCAACTAACTTGGGTTAATCTGAAGATTGAACTTCTAATTAAAGCTTACTAGTCCTGTAAGTAAAATTCTTGACAAGCCAAAGTGAACTCCCCCACTAGAGACTGTATTTTCCAGCTATCTTTTAGGAACTATAATCACTTCTATTCAGAAGTTGTAGTTTGCCACTTCTGAATTCAGTGTATTAATGACTTCTGCCACAGGGCAGGCATCTGCATCCTTGCTGTTTCTTTAGACTGGGTATCAGTAACCCTGTAATACTGTCAGAAGGCTTAGCCAAAATTTGGCTTAAGTTTTTACCCTGCTCAAACTCAAGGAATTAGTTTTATTTCTTTCTTTAGGAAAGCAACACAGAAAATGTTGTGGTTATGTACTTACCGTACATGAAAATGAAAACTAAAAAATGGGGGTGGGAATTTTTTTGTTTGTTTCTTTTCACTTGCTTCTCTCCTCTCCTTAGTGCTTGGGCTTGATCCTTCAGAAATGCGATAGATGAGGAATAGTCTCTTGTGAATGCTGAGTGTGTTCTTGTTCCTCAGTTTGAGCTGTTTCCTTGTTTCTGTGGATTGGCTTCTGTGATTCAGTAGCAGCAGAACTGATTGCAGAGCTTAAACCTCTGTGTGCATCTCAAACAAAAGCAAAAAAACAGCTTTTGAAATTTTCATTGAAACATGAACATGTTTATACTGGTGAGGGATAATGAGCGACCCACTACCCTGTGTGTTTTTGAGGAAGGATCCACGTAACAGTTTGATGGGAGAGGAGCAACATTCCATATCAGCAGGTCTCCTCCCTGTGCACGTGTATAAGCAAGTCTGTGTATCTGTTGTTTAAGAGTACTGGATTGGGATATTTGATGTTCTCTGAATATCTTTGAAAATAGCATTGTATATGTGTAAGTAGTCTTTTTGAGCATGTCTTTCCCTATACATGCAATCCTTTCACAGCACAGAACGGCGTTATTATGCTAACAAAAAAACCCAGCTGTGCTATTTGCCATTATAGTGGCAAATAACAGAATTCTGCAAATCAATGTTTTCTTCTTTATAGGTGATTTCAGGTGCTACTTTCTGGCACCAGTTACCTTCACAAATTCGTCCAAGGCTATAATTCAGAAAATAACTAGATCTGCATAATTTTGGGGGGGTTTATTAAAACCAGAGCTTATATTAAGGTGAATTTTCAGGTCTTACCCAATTTTGAATACAGTCATCAGTTCAGTGAAGATGAAAATTTGTTGGTGTATTTTTATAAAGCAGACTGTGTAGTCTTGATGCATTCCTGGTTAGTACCAAGAAAAAAATACCTAGAAAATTACATAGAAAGTAATTGCTTATGACAAATGCAAGAGTAAGCGTCTTGAACTGTATTTGAGATCAATACTGATACTGACTTTAAATGGAGAAGAACTTTATTTGTGGTGTGTTAAATTTCTGTAACCTTTTTCTAAAGAATATATTTGTGTTACAGGCATCTGCTATTGTTGCTTGGCTCTCAGAAGCAAGTAACAGAGACCTTAGACTGCCCTGTACCAGGAAGGGGCCTGTTAAAGCTTACTGTATGAAAATAAACTCACTGAACTAAATAGTAGAGTAGTCAGTGATTTTGAGTCACTTAACTGTTTTTGGGGAACAGATTGCACAAATGGAGCATCGGATGCTGCAGAAGGATGGATTTGGGGCGGTTATAGGTTGCAGAGCACAGTTTACGCTTCAACATGTTGCTGTCTCCAAGTTCATATTTTTCTAGTTATTGTCTGGAATGGTGAGGACTAAGTTAAATCATGTGGTAATGAGAAGCAAGTCAAGCCTTATAAGGCTTGGTTTGTCTTTCCTGCCAGTGTCAGGTTGAGTTGAGAAGAAGAAATGCTCTTTTGTGTTGTCTAGTAAACAGATCGTTCTCTAGTGTCTGCTTCTAGCTTAGAATATGAAATATCCGCATTCAGTTGTCTTCAAGCTTTCTTTTGTAACAGTATTTTTGTCAAACGTGGCAGTTCGAGTTATGTATGATGTTCTGCTAATTTCAGGATTTTCATGTCTGTAGATCTCTGTTCAGCAGTTAAACTAAAGTGTTGAAATTATCAATTGCTTTCAACGCTAACAAGATTCTAATTCGTATCTGCTAGTATTAAGTATTTCTAGGCAGTAAAGACTTTCTAGAAGTTAGTTAACCGAGTCAATAGCACAAAACAATGTTCTAAAACTTCATGTAGTTGAAGCTGAGGCTTTGAAACTGAAAGTAAGATTGAAGTGAAATACTGCCTATAACTGGTGATCGTAACGGAAAAGGGAATGCTGTTTTCAGATGTTCACTAGGCAAACCCAAAATTCAAAGTTTGCAGCTATGGTCCAAGTACCACAGTGTATTGGATTCATCAGTAAAACACATCTTAGATGTTTTCCTTCTCTGTCCTGCTCTTATGGTCTGTGATTCTGTTGGGTTTTTTTCTTTAGTTATGCTGTCACACTTAAGCTGCTTTGTTAACAGAGCTGATGTGGGTTAGAAAACTGGAAAAACTCTTAAAAAAGAGAAAGAGTAGTGTATGTGGTTTTGGGGGAGATTGCTTTTGTTGTTGTTGTTGTCTTGTTTTCCCTTGTGGGTTGTTCAGTTTTGTTGTTGGATTGTATCTGAGTTTGTAAACAGCTCTTACTGCAAGAACAGCTGAGACAGGGCAATAGCTTCTCAAGCCAACTTCATTAGTGAAGGCTGCTTCTTATAGAGCAACAGACTTAGAAATTAGGAGAAGCAGCCATCACAGGTAAGTTATTTATTAATTTTTTAAAAATTATTTGTATTTGATTATCATATACATAGTAAACTAATGAATATCAAAATCCTTAGAAAAACTTCTAAATTCATGAAGTAATAACCTTTCTTGTCAGACAGCAAACTGTGCTGATATTTATGTAATTCTTGAATGATACACGGCTCTTTCAGCAAGTCAGGTTCTATGATCTCGTTCTTCGGTCTCTCTTCCCTCACATCTCCCAAGCTAATATCTTCATCAGTGACATAGATGGTGGGTGCACCCTCAGCAGATTTGCAGATGACACCAAGCTGAGTGTTGCAGTTGACATGACTGAGGGACGAGATGCCATCCACAGGGACTTGTTCAAGTTTGAGAAGTGGGCCTGTGTGAACCTCATGGGGTTCAACAAAGTCAAGTGCAGGATCCTGCACCTGGGCTGGGGCAACCCCCAGTGTCAATACAGGTTGAGGGATGAAGGGACTAGGAGCATCCCTGAGGAGAAGGACTTGGATGAAAAAGTTGGATGTGAGCCTACAATGTGAGCTCGCAGCCCAGAAGGCCAATGGGATACTGGGCTGCATCAAAAGCAGCACGGCCAGCAGGTCGAGGGAAGTGATTCTGCTCCTCTACTCCACTCTGGTGAGACCCCACCTGGAACACTGAGTCCAGCTCTGGACATTCTTATGTCCCCAATGTAAGAATGACAGGGACCAGTTGGAGCAGGTCCATAGGAGGGACACAAAAATGATGAGAGGGCTGGAGCACCTCTGCTATGAAGGCAGGCTGAGAGAGTTGCAGTTGTTCAGCCTGGAGAAGAGAAGGCTCTGGGGAGACTTTATAGCAGCCTTCCAGTACCTAAAGGTACTGCTTAAAAGGCAGATGGGGACAGACTTTTTAGCAGGGCCTGTTGCGATAGGACAAGGGGTAATGGTTTGATACTTAGAGGGTAGATTCAGACTAGATATGAGGAAGAAAATTTTTTATGCTGAGGATGGTGAAACACTGGAACAGGTTGCCCAGAGAGGTCGTAGATGCCCCATCCCTGCAAACATTCAAGGTCAGGTTTGATGGGGCTCTGAGCAACTTGATCTAGTTGAAGATGTCCCGGCTTATTGCAAGGGGGGTTGGGACTAGATGGTCTTTAAAGGTCCCTTCCAGCCCAAACTACTCTATGGTCTTATGTTAGTTGGTAGCATTTCTTTAGGAAAGGAGTGCGGGGTTTTTTTGTAACTGTAACTTGTGAGGTTGAGGATGGTGATACTTGGTAAACAGACATTGGTTTGGGATGCTTTTTGCTGTGGATTTTGTAATTGGTATATGCTTCAGATAGGGAAAACTATCATTTTGTCATTGTTGATTCTTCTGTGCGATTTGAAAGTACAGTTTTCAATTCCAAGTATGTTTTTCAAATCCAAATAATTTGTTTTCTTGTCCTGCTTTCAAGTTCTTAGGCTTCCATATTTGAGGTGGTTGAAGAATTTTAATTTTTCTCTGTCGTAGGTTTTGTGAGGATATTTGGCAAGTGTTCTAGTAATAAATATAAGACTGCCTTAGAACTATAGCTATGAAACGGAGAAATTGAGACTTTTCTTAAAGTTTGGACTTCTCTTAAAGAACAAATTTAAGCAGGTAAATGAATGAATGAACCTCTTTAAAGGGGTGCTTGCAGCTTTATGTTTTAATTACAAGATTGACTACATATGATACATACATTGATAAATGAACACTTCATGTGTGTTGAGTGAAGGTCTGCAGATAAGTAAATTTAAGTAATGGTTGTAAAGAGTCTGTCATGCTCTGACATTCGTGCAGCTGAGCAGCAAGATGAATGAGGGAAGTGATTGGATCAAAAATAAAAGCACTTTTAAGGGTTGTTTTCACCTAGATCAACCCTCTGAACGTTTAAATGTGACATGTATTAACAGGAATGCTTATGCAAAAGAAAGGGCAAGAAAACGCAGATGCGAGAATGGAATTGCTGTTCTGTGTCTTAAATCAGTATAAGCTGCTGTGAAACCGTTCTTCCGAATTTCATCAAGTCTGAAGTTTTTTTTGTATTGACAGTCACAAAAATTGCCGCTCTTAGCATTGGTTTCTACATATGCTTTCCAGCAAAATAATGTAAGTGTTTTAGCTAAACTTTGAGAACAAATACTCTATGATTAGCAATTTTCATACAAAACAATTGTAGATGATCTTTGGAATGCAGCTGTGATGCTTTTAGGGTGCTGATTTTTTTGCAGACTTTCGCATCTCTAAAAAATTTTTGGTGGAGAAGTCATTACTTGCAATAAGAAAGACATTAAAAATCCAGTCCTCAAAATATTTTTGAATGTTCTGTACCATGTGAATAGTATCTTTGAGGGAAAAATTAAATATAAAGCTGTAGAATATGGTTTAACAGGCTTGTTGTTGGGAGGAAAGGTGTTAATACCTGCTTGAGGAAAGAGTGATCAGAAAATTCATGTTGAGATTGAAATTTTAGTACATATGTAAATAAGTGGAACTTTTTTTTTCTAGGCTCTCTTCTTTTGGAGTCCAAAATTAACCCGAACACTGCGTACCAGAAGCAACAGGTAAACATACTTTTTTTCCTGACATTTAAAGGAGGGTTCTTTAACTTCAGCAATACAGTCATTTTTTTGCCTCTATTGAAAATTGTTTCATGTTCTTGTACCAAAAATAAGAGGCAAAGTAGTTCTCAATATTTTTTTTTGTGCCTTTTATGATACATGTGTGTTATTTCTCTGCATTTTTTTTGAAGTCATGTGAAGATCTTGCACTGTCTTTTACACCAAATAATCCTATGGGAGAGACAGGAAAAGCACAGTTGTGAAAATCACAAAGTAGCTGAGGTTCCTGAGGATAATAGTATCTGAAACTTATTATCATCTGGCTTTTTTCTTTTTTATATTTCAGATACTACAACTTTTAGTGTATTTAATTTAAGAGAAGACTAGGAGGCTTTAAAGCTATTTACATGTTTACGTTTGTTTTTACTTGGATGTGGGTTTCTGCTGCTTCAAAGCATTATGTATATATAAAAGTAGCTTCTCACCTCTAGTTTGCATCTACCTTCAATTATTTAAGCCCTAGATTGTGAGCCCTTAAAGAACACTGCTGAGATGGGTGAGAAGTGAACTTTAGATACTGCATTCTATTTGCTGTTCTTATTTCATGGATACTGATAGTTGCCCTCAGAGGTTCAGAAATGCTGAACCAGTTTGGATTTTGTTGCCTGCCTGTCAGACTTGCTAAAATCGTATCAGGTACAGTTAACGTATGAAAACACTCTTCAGTCTTCAGCTTTTGATGGTTTATTATAAGCATAGACATACTGTAGTTTTGCTCAGAGGCAATCCCAGTGGTTGTGTGGCTGCAGCTATTTGTAGAGTTGTATGTTGAACTGTATGGGGAGAACCAGTCGGGGTTAAAAATACCCTTCCTTGGAAAATTTAGCCTGTACTGCCCCTTGATATAAATCATCGTGCACCATATAAACAGTCTGTACTGCACAACTGGTAGGGCCAGTGTAAGGTGGAGAATCAATTGCAGGGAGTAAGAAAGGACAAGACCAGGAAAAATGATAAGCAAACTAACTTTTAGTTGTAATCCTGATTAGCCTGGGGTCATGGTTCTATGATAGAGTAACTTGAGCTTTAGGACTCCTGAAATGACATTGAATATTTCACAGCTCTACGGCATAAAGTGCTGATCTAGTGTGAACTTGCTTTGCTGGTTCAAATCTGTTCAAAGAGCACTGAGGGGTGAGCTTAGTGTCAATAGGCTTTATGCCAGATCAAACGTGAAGCCTGCTTTAAGTAGGCATAAAATTGTAAGATCAGTGCAAGCCACCACACGTGCCTGTCAGTGCAACAGCATTTCTTATCTGTGCTCATTGCTACTCTGGGTCAGACATGTATTGTAATCTAGCACTGCACAGACCCACTACTGGTGATAGTGAAAACATGGTTAGATAAATAAAAATATTAAACATTAATCTGTCCTGTTAGAACAGCATTGTACGTTTTCTGTGCTGGAGAAGGAAAAGTGCTGTTCTTACAGCTTTCAAATGATGCATAGACAAATATGCAGGTGAATTGTTTGTATTATTTAAGCAAAGCAGTCAATAATAGAGATTGAACATAGGGCTCCACTGTGAGCCTTAGAAATACCAACTCTTTCTTGGTGTGTGTATTAATCCTACTTTGTAGAACGTTGTCTTTCAGGTGAGGCCTACTCATCCTTTCCCTTAGTAAAAGGCAAGTTCTGAGTTTAAACCTGATTCTGTATGAGCTAAGCTTGGAGTTCAGCAGCTGAAAGAGTGAGTTGCTTCTTTCCAGGTCTGCTCACAGAACTCTGTGCTGCCTAAACTCACTAAGCCAAAAGAAAATCATCTTGGTACTCCAAATCCCTCTTCAAAAACTAGTAACTCTCTGTCAGCAGAAGTTTCAAGCCGCCTCACAAGATCCATTTGTGGAAATGTGGGATGGAAGAGGGAGTGAGATCTTTCCTTTTTAGCTGCAGAATGCCACTTAGGCCACCTCAGCTACTAGTGAAATTGCAGCCTTACTTAAGACTTACTTTTGACTTTGCTTGTAGTTGTCCTCAATTTCAAGAAAAATCTCCTAGAAACCTAAGACTTAACACTGGAAAGTTACTTTGAAGTTTTATGGTCTTGCCAGCTTTTTATCTCAAAATTTTGTTGCAAGGGTGAACCTCCATTCCATTTTAAAGGGACACATAGCAGTGCATCTGTTTTCACTGTGACACACTTAGCATGGAGCTTGTGGGTGCTCCGCATATCTAATGGTATAAATGGATGAGTTCCGACTTTTTTCTAGGCTGACATAAGGCTTGTAAGAAGAAACAGTCTTTTATTGGACCAACTAACATGATTTGTGGTTGGAAGGAAGGAAAGATGTGTGATAAGTTCTTGGGGAAACTTGCTGTGCCTGCTGCTTTGGATGCTTCAACAAGCTTATAGGTACCTTTGTGATAAACAGTGAAGTTCTTCCACTGATGAAAGCACCTTCTACCTATTCTGCACTATTAGTGGCAAGTGTGGAACAGATTGTCTAACTAATTATTGATAGTATAAATTATGCCATCTCAGGGTATACATATATATATTTTAATGATAACTGTCACAATTATTTGTTAAAGTAATAGTGTGAAGACTTGAGTACAAGTTTTCCTTGATGCCTCTGTTCACTTGATGTGTAAAACATCCATGGAAACTTAAAAAAAAGAAAACAAACAAAACCACACAAAAAACCAACAAAAGCCATACCCTGTGAACCTGGGATTCAAGTAAAGTTTTGTAAATTGTCTGCTTTAGATTTCTTGGGGTTTAGGATTGAGAGCAATGACTGCTCTTTATTGTGGACTAGTCAGGTCTGTCTGCATGTAAATCTTAATCTATCTGGTGGTAGATACAACTGTCTGCTTTTCCCTTTGGAGAGGAAGAATACCTGGCAGATCTTGGGACCTGCTTGGGCACTTACTTTTCATACATGATCCCGAGATACTTTAGCTTGCACAATCTGGTCCCTGATCTTTTCAGGCTTACCTGCCACCTAGAGCTTTGAAATAAGTCCTTAATGCACGAAAATAGGCAGTCTTCTAACTACCTTTTCACTATTTAGACAGATTAATCTTTCTGTCGCAATAAAGAGTATTTTCTGCCGTGTATTCAAAAAGATATATCTGTGTAACATTCTGTAACATAGAATTGCTACCACTGGCAGTTACGTGCTCTGAAATGTGTCCTTCCTGGCAAACTCATCCTTACTTATACGCAGATTAGAAGAAAGGAATCCATATGAGGAAAATAAGCTAGAAAGAAAACAACCTGAGAAACTAATGTACTGGCACTCAGAAAAAGGACTAGTATTTTTTATGTGAAGGTACTGTTTGTAGGCAGAAGATTTCTTCTGAAAAGCAAAATGTGCATCAGTACAGCCATTCAGCCTCCTGACTTTTGTATCCTTGTTAAGGGCTGTATGTTAAGTTTTATTGGTATTCTTATTCTAAAATGTTACAATAACGCTTCTATAACTTTGGTATGGAATATACTGGATTTAATTATGGATAAATAGCACGCAGTTTAAAAGCAAATTTTGTTTAATAAGTGGAATTTAATTACACTTTGGGTTGCTGGACCACACATAGAATACTTAGGTTTCCTCTTTTGTTGTTGTTTTCTTAATCTACTGGTAAAGGTAGAAGATATTTTAATTGTAATGTCCTGGTGAAGTCAGTTTACACACTTTAATCCATGGTCTTTTTTTTATATTTGTCTTTTGTTGGTTTTTTTTTTTAAGGCAGTAAAATGACACAATTCCAGAATGCCAGTGATAGAGGTGTTGTTCTTAAACAAGTGATTGTTATTCAAAAAATGAGTAATTGCCCTAGTATTTCAGGATGACACACCTCTTCCTCTGCAACCTTAAAGGAGAAGTAAGCTCTATACACATAACATTTATCTAGGGAGAAAGCTGATACAGGTGTGGACTGAGGTGTATACTTTTCAATATACTTTCAATATACTTTGGCAATGCTTTAGCAATAGAAAACATACTCTGCTTTATTTTAAATACACCCATGTACATGCAGTAACCACTGATGAAGTATATATTGTATCCCTTTTTGTGCCTGAAATAAGGAAGACTTGAGGTCCTTCCAGCTACAAAGTCTTGCCTCTGCAGGAGAAACTTCAGTGTCCTGTGTCTGCTTTTGCAGTCCCTTTTCAGTTCCTCACAAGAATACAAAGCTTAAATTCATCCAGAGTACTATCTACTAGCTACGTAGTTTGAAGGTGGCTATCCTGGAGTGATGGGGAGCTGACTTACGAATAACAAAGCGAAATTTTTAAAAAATCCAAAAAGCCACTGGCGGAGTGCTCAGAGAAGATTAACTTCCTACCCTTGCTGTCAGGACAAGGGAGCCAGCAGTGAAATGATTTCAATAAAATCTGTGCCTATTGTAGCTAAGATAGTAAGGAAAAGTGTGTGGTTTTGTGGGGTGAGGGGAGAAACAAGGGGAGTAACTGCTGATGGTTTTGGGGTGGGCTGGTTCACCCATTTTAAATGATCATGTGTTTCTTGATCCTCACATGTGTTTTTCTGTGATATCTAATTTTTCTGCTGTTTCTGGGTATGGTCACTAGCCCAGTGAGTTGAGATTCTATTATAGAACTAATAAACTGATTTTATTCCGTGTGATTCATGGGAATGCAGCTATGAAATGGCTTACTGGAAAGTCATGTGTGATTGTTGAGCTTTCATAGAAGCTAATAGAATACATTCTGCCAAAAGACTATGTGTGCTTTTGATAAGTTATTCCAGTTTTTGGGGTAACTTGTTAGCACATCCACATAGCCAGGTTCTAGGTGAAGAAATGCACAAAACGCAGAATTAAAACTTAATATTATGTGGGTGGGTTTTTTAGCCTGAAAATTCTACTGCAACCTACCATATTAACTATATATATTTAACTTTATAAACCTGGGTAGCTCCGGTAGTTAATTTTATAAGCAGAAAGCTGCCTATGAAGCTGTACTTTTGTTGGTAAATAATTAGCTGCAAGATGCTAAAACGTGGCTTGGCATGTCCAAGGAACTGTCTGTAACTGTAAACAATATAAGGGCATACTTAAGGAAGAAGAGCAGTCAGGCAGGCTGAGATGGGGAGAAACAACCTTCCTCTCTTGAACTTCCACTGGGGGCCAGGAAAGCCCCCTAGGTCTACATTCTTTGAAGGCTAGTAGGAAGGGATTAATTTGCATGTAAGACAGAATGCAAGGATTTATGAAAGACCTACCTAATTTGGGGGATCGCTACTTCTTGGGAGTAGCTTAAATCTCATTGGGATGCCAAAAGAATATTTTGGAGCTGCAGAGAAGACTGATATTCTCACTGGACGTGAACACCAGTGGGAGGGTACTGTCAGACGATAACAGTTTTCTTAATTTTATCACATTATGAAAGAAATCTTAAATTAATTTTACAGCAGAATCAAATCCTAAATCCTAGTTGCTCTGAAAGTCTTCTTTATGAAATCCCAGGGCTTGCTTTGGAGATTGTATGAATGCTGTATAATACACCTGCGAATCAGCTTGCTAATAGCTAAATAAAACTGATTTAATATCCAATAAAGGTGTGACTTTGAGTGTTAAGATGAGAGCTTGAGACTGATAGTGAGTGTTCGACAACCTTTCTGTTATGGAAAGTAAGCCTCTTGGAAATCATATCAAAAAGTGAAGAGAAATCATTCAGTAGATCCCAAGCCTTGTCCATCTGAGTGCAATTGCCACTGCTTGCTGACTTAAGCTATTGCAGTGGTGTTTTTGAAGGTTAGCTTCTTTGGAATGACATCTCAAATAAAGCTATAGCACACAGTAGTGTTTCCTTGAAACTAACCAGAAATTGCTCCACCTGGCCTTGATGCAGCCAACAGAGACAAGCAACGGAAGACTGCCCAGACTGTATTCTGAAGAAATGTTGCCTCAGGCTGCATCTTTACAAGGATAAGAGTGCAGAAAGTTACCCTCCATTGGTAGAAATGATAAATACCTCTTTATGGGAATGTTAAAAACGTGAATCTTCTATAAAGAGGCTATGCACAGGATTTTTGCTTAAAATGAAGAATTCCTGATTATATTAGAGGAGTAATAATGAAAAATAATGTGAAAGAAGACAAATTTATATAAAAGGTCTTCGCGATCCAGCAGATTTTATATGGGCTAAATATGGGCTATATGGGATAGTGATGACACATCCAACTGGCGCTATTGCGAAGCAGCAAATCATTTTCAAACTCTGAATAGGATTTTGATCTCTACAATAAGTAGTTTCCAGATTATCATCCTATTTAAAAAAGATCTTGCCAAGAACTCTAATGCATCTTGCAAAATATGAGGAGCTAGAGTGCTAGGATTCTTGCAGAGCGCTCAGTATAAAATCCTTCAGCGATAAAACATTTTTCCACGTTCCTGACTCAGTTCACACAATGTAGCTGTGATTTAATACTGCAGTTTCACATTTCAACTGTGTTTAATGACAAGCTTGATAAGAACAAATTTTAGATACTTGTTTTAGTCATCCCATCCAGTTCCTTGTCTGGAGGCTAACATTTTGTATGTAATGCAAAAAAAGGATATGTTTTCGATCAAACTGAGCCAGAACTGTGTTTGTGAATCATATATGATTGAAGATTTTATGCTCATGTACGAAACTCATCTCCTTACCTCTCTAACCAATAGCTATTATTGCTAAGCATATTTGTTCACATTCCTGTTTCTCTTGGAAAAGGGAAGGCAGTCTTAAGAAATTTGAATTGCTTTTTGGAATTGCAAAAGTAGTATTTGGCATTTGGAAGCAACAGATAGTCCTGTTCCATAGCTGAGAGATCCAGAGTAGTTAGTGGATTCAAATTACACTGAGGAGATTTCAGATCAAACACACCGAAAGAGTCTTTTAAATAAAACAAGCAGAAACTAGACTTCTGTTCATGTTTTTTTTATCTTTTAAGTACATCTAGAATTTCCTTCAGTCACTTCTCTGTACATATATTAAATCTTATAGTGCTCTTCTTTTTGATGATTATAAGCTTTGTAGGATTAAGAAAATGAAATTACATTAATAACTGTCTGCATTTAAGAGTGAATTTAAACTTCAACTGAACTGTGTATTATGCAGCAGAGTGAAGTGCTTTTCTTACTTTGTTTCATGTTCTCTTTTGAAAGTCCTTTGAGGCAAGAAGCCTAAAGATAGCAATTGATAAATGTCTGTTGAGATACTGATATTAATCGATAATACAAAGTCCTTGCGTGATAAGACAACAAATAAATAATAATTTGAAGTTTTTAATGTTGGCAATTGGGAAATACTTTTCTAATATTAATAAATCAAGCTTGAAGATTATTGTTCTGCTGCTCAAATAATTCTTCAGCATTTTTTCATTTTGCTTTCAAAGAAGAAATGATTTAAAAAGAAAGAATCAGGATGTATAGAGGTGAAAAAATACTGTCTGAGCTTCCATGTGTGATTGTAGATGATCTTGTTTAACAAAAACAATTGCTATGCTATGGCCAAATACACTTCTGTACATCTGTGACTATAGTTTTCAAAATCAGCTTTACCTTTTGTGTCTTCCCTTTCACTTTTCTCTGCCTTCCCTCCATCCCTGCTCTCCCCAGATGAAAAAGACCAACCTATCTTGGTCCAGTGCTGGATTTTATTCAGAGACTGACAGCTTTTGTTTGTTCAACTCACCCCAGTTAGTGTAAATACTGCTGTCCTTACTTGTGCTCTTTCAGCAATTTCCCTATTTGTGAGTTGTCTTCGGTATAGAGAAGAAAATATGTTTAGATCTTTTGGAAATGGCTTGCTTAGAAAGCTAACCACTTGCACTTAAAGGTAAATGCAATTAAATAGCGATGTTGCAAGTTCTGCTAGGGTCTACTTAAGATTCATTGTTAGGGTTTGGTTTTTTAAATGAAATAAGCGCTACTCAGTGGGAAGCTGATTGAGACAGTGGCCTTGAAAATTACTGCAGTATAAATACTAATTGTGGAGATTAGTGTATTAGGCTTTGAACCTGAGACATACAATAAATGCTGCAGTAAGGTACCCACTGTTTGTAGAACATGGTTTAAGAAAATAGTTTATTTTCTTTTGGACCTTCCCTTTCTAAATTTTTGTAAAATGTAATTTTTCTTAGTCTACAGGAGTCAGCAGTACTAGATGCTCTCAATCTGTTATTACCAGAGTATTTGCACTGTGACCTGTCTTGTAGAGAATAAACTATTAATCATGACTTTCTTCTTCCTTTTGTATTTTGGAGGTGGTCTTCCTAAATCCCTTTCTTCTGTGTACCACCTCTTCCTCAACCCTTTGGAAAAGGAAAACTATTTGCCATTTGCAAGGTAAAGCCGTTAGTGCCTTTGAAGCAATATTGCTGCTCTGGTAATGGCAAATTGATTATACTGTATTGTTTAACTGAATCCTAATGGAACTAGCTGATTGTGCTATTTAGATTATAGTTCAGTTTAAGGAGTTTTCTAGTAAGTGCATATCGAAATCCAAATGTAAGATTTCTCTTTATCCTCAGTGTTCACTTCAATATTTGAAATATATTAAGCCTAGGTAATTAACTGTCCTAAACTTTATAAATGTCTGGCAACTTACAGGGCTTTTGCAAATATTTGAAATTAATCCCTTTAGGTAGGAGTAATCACTATAAGCAAGTCTATACTTAGTGAAGCAAAAAGACTCTATTTTATGATTCTGATTGAAATACAAGTAGAAAAATTCTCATGTCTTTTGTCCTAATGAGTAAGTGCATGTTTTAGCATTTAACTGAAATAATGCAGTTTCATGGGGCTATATATATTTAATGTGGCTGTATTTCAGGTAGCTGTTATAGGAAGACAAAAGACTTTCAAAATAACACGTGATGCAATGTGTAAATAATTCAGATTATATTTTCTTCTTTTTTCAATTTTGGTTGGTTTTTTATTTTTATTCTTACAGTTATCTAGCAGGTTGTCTGTAAACCACTGCGTCAAATACCTTATCAGTGTGCGATATTGCTCTCTGCAGCATCAGCTTCCACTTCCATATATTGTTCTTGCATGCAATATGGGGGCTCTGGTAAACTCTCGAACTGTTCTACCGAGTAGATGAGATCTTCAGTGTCTGGATACTAAATGTAGCTAAGCGCAGTTTCAGCTAACTTCTAAAAATGTAGGGCAACACATCCTTTCAGAATTGCGGTTTGGAATGAGTAAAAATTGTGTGTTTGGTTCAATGTAGTAAGTATCTATACACTTAGGCTGCTAGCTGTGTGCATGTTCAAAGCTGTGTTCTCGTTTAAAGTTCGTAGGCTTCTTGGGGCACCTCTTCTGTGCATTAGCACAGTGTCTTCTGAGGCCTATACAAAAAAAAAAATATTTCAACTTTGCTCCTACAAAATATGTGCAGTTTTATGTGGCCCAAGTGAAACAGATTTTAAAAAACAAACAAACAAACAAACAAACAAAAAATCTCACAAACCCTGTTGCTTTTGTTACCGTATTTTATTAGAGGATGCACTGAGATATAAGTACGTATTCTAGATCAACCTTTTTCAGATTTACAATATTATGGTCACGTGAATTAAGAACTAAAACTTTCAGTATCTTTCTGGAACTTCCTTACTCTGATTTATGCAGAAATGGTTTTAATCCTAATCTCTGAACGTATACAAATCTTACAAAGTATGATGATTATATTGGTGTTGTAATACTATCCTGTCATAATTAGATGTCAAGCTGTTTTATTTTAAAATTTTACTCTTTAAACAGTATTCAGGTTTGTAAAATCTGAATTACATTGCCTGAAAACACTCTTCCTCTCTTTAAAGGATACCTTGATTGTGTGGTCTGAAGCTGAAAATTATGATTTGGCACTTAGCTTTCAAGAAAAAGCAGGATGTGATGAAATATGGGAAAAAATATGTCAGGTAAGTTTGATAAATATAAGATTGGAAAAACCTAAATCATCTTAATGTATGTGTTCAAATTTTTTAGACTGTTCTAAGAGGTGAATCTGAACACAGTAGGTAGAAAGTAAAGCTATCGTCTTAGCCACCTTCACCAAATTTTGTATTTTTGAATTTGGAAACTTCCTCCTTCCTCCACAAATTTGATGTGAATTTAACAATGTTTGGGGTGGCTTTTTAGAGCATTTTCAGGTCTTTTTGCTTAAAATAACTTTTTAGCTTTATTATAACCCAAGTAAGTTCAGCTCAAAATGAGTGCTTAAAAAGTTTCCTAACAATTAATTTCGTAAATAAGTTTTTCTGGGTTGGGCAGAAGGGAAAAGGTTACCTGTCCAAAGTTTCATTGTAGAGAGAAGAATGTATGTGAGCTCTTAGTGAATTTTATAATGTATTTCTCCTGCATTTAGCCATACCTTATTCACATTTCTCTTCCTATATTTCTCATTCTTCTCTTTCTTTTATGTCATTCTTCTGTTTAAGGTGAGGGGAATATTGAATTTCTCAACAGATCTTTTTTCCATGTAAATGTCACAGTGTGCTTCTGTTGACTATCAGGGTATGAAAGTCTGATTTGGTAGTTGAAGTAGGAGATAGCTCTATATTATCACCTTAAAGCTGTAATTCTTACAGTTTAAAGAAATCAAACAGTTTATATGTAGCATGTATGTATTTTAATATATGCTAATTAACTCTTTATGTTTTACCACAGCAACCAGATGACTATGTGTCATCGAATCAGTATTGTTTCTGGATAACATTTGGTCAGATATTAACTATTGACCAATACCTAAAAGAGTTTAATCGATATATTCACTGATGTTAGTTTAGTTTGTCAGTTCTTGTTTGGGTTTTTCTTTCATTGCAAGCATTGCAACTTTTCTTAATTTCTGTGCTATATTATGTGGGATTTCTCTAATTTGTCTAATTCTCTCTTTGTGGGCTCTCATTTTCTGTTCTTAAAAAACATCTAGCTCTTTCTACTCTGTCTTTTAGAGTCTGTTCTCACTGATTTCAGAAATAAAGCAAAAGAAATCTGGTTTTATAATTGCATGTGTATGGGTCATTCATTTTTTTGGGAATGAGTCTTTTCAACAGTTTATCACTTATGTAAATAAGTACAGAAACTTATGTAAATAAGTACAGAAACATTTCCAGGAACCTTGGCACTCAAAGGACCAAAAGTTGGGGACAAACAAAATGGGAGAAAGGGGAAATTGTGTGCTAGGGTAACACCCAGATAAGAAGCCCAGTTTCCTCAGCCTCATGTAAAGACCTAATATTTTTGTAAGAAACCAGTGCCTTTACATCCTGTTTTGAGGCCATGCTATTGTATTTGTGTCTAGTGTACTTTAAAGATCTTAAGCTTCCTCAGTTGTTGAAGCTTGTTCTAAAAGGAAAACTTTGATACCACTTACACTGGAAGTGGTTGCTGATGTGTAGGCAGAATAGAATGTGGGTTTTCACAGCATTCTGGATTTTATACAGCAAGGATTTGCTTGCTGTTATCCATGAAGAAGTATTTCTCCCAGATTTTTTTTGCTGATTTTCCAGATAAAAAGGAACAGTACCATGTATCATTCTACACAGCGGTACCTTTCTGGATTTGACACATCAGACTCCAGATACTGCAATTAAGATGTCATTAAAGCTGAAACACTCTGGTTCAGTCTGTCTCTGTTTTTTTCACTAACTCATGCTTTCTGCAGTTTCCTTGTTGTATCTCTAGAGAGATCTTTGCAGGTCCTGTGCCTTGTTTTTCTGACAGTTCCAGGTTGCCTGTACTCTTTTGTTAACATTGGTTTGGGGTTTTCTGTTCTTCGAGGGGTTCTGTGGCTCTGTTGAGTATTTAGAAAGTGCACAGTAACACATTTTGACTTGCAGCGCTCCAGAACTGGTAACGGCAATTAAATTAACAGGACTGGCCTCTCTCTTCTGTTTGAGGTAGCAGAAGCTTTGAAAAGCATCAAGAGCAGTTAAATAGCCTATAGATAAATGTTTAAAGCTATCGCTGCAATAACGTAATACTGGTTTGCATTTGAAAATCTGTCTGCAGAGAATAAAGATTGGAAACAAATCACTTAGTTCAGTAGTGAAAAAGTTGTCATCCATCCTAGTAATTATGAATTTCCTTTTTTATTTGAAATACTCAGAAAATGTATCTAAATATCTAACGTAGAAATAATTTTGTACAGCCTTCTGTTTGGAGAACATAAGCTCTTACTTTGCAAACCAGTTGTACTCAATGTCAAACTTGTATTTGCACTTCTATTTTGGCTATAGTAATAAAAAGTGTGGGGCATTTGAAATGGTACTTTTTAAAAAGCACTCAAGTAGCAGTAAACATTAAAGTCCACTTTTTTAAACACATCTTATTTTGTAGGTTCAAGGCAAAGACCCCTCTGTCGACATTACTCAGGACCTAGTCGATGAATCTGAGGAAGAGCGTTTTGATGATATGTCATCACCAGGTCTAGAATTGCCGTCTTGTGAATTGAGTCGACTAGAAGAAATTGCAGAACTTGTGGCATCTTCACTGCCTTCACCATTACGTCGTGAAAAACTCGCACTAGCACTGGAAAATGAGGGCTATATTAAGAAGCTCTTAGAAATTTTTCATGTGTGCGAAGACTTGGAGAACATTGAAGGACTACACCACTTATATGAAATTATCAAGGGAATTTTCCTTTTGAACAGAACTGCACTTTTTGAAGTCATGTTTTCCGAGGAATGTATAATGGACGTAATTGGATGCCTAGAATATGATCCGTCTTTATCACAGTCACGGAAACACAGGGAATTTCTGACTAAAACAGCAAAATTTAAAGAGGTGATTCCTATATCTGATCCAGAGCTGAAGCAAAAAATACATCAGACATACAGAGTACAGTATATTCAAGATATGGTCCTACCCACTCCCTCAGTTTTTGAGGAAAATATGCTATCAACACTTCATTCTTTCATCTTTTTTAATAAAGTGGAAATAGTTGGTATGTTACAGGTAAGTTTCAGAATTTCACAGTCTATTTGCGCTTGGGCAGAGAAAGTTGGATAATTTTTCTTGGAAAGATTAAGGTGCTTTGGTGGAACCTTCTGTCATTCTGAAAGTCGTTTTGAAGTGTGACACAAAAGGCGTGGATTTGAGTACTGAGCTGATTTGTACTTAACTGTCAGATTTTGGACTAGATGCTCTGTAAATGATTTAAATGGAGCAAACATATGTAGAATCCTGAATGAGGTTGTTTGGAATGAATAGTACTGTTTGCATTTTGAAGGGTTGATTTTGCTAGGGTTTTTTTCTGTATTTTGGGACTTTTTAGGAACTAGAGTTACGGATAATTTTTGTCATGTTACCATGACGAAAAAATAATCAAATTACTTCACCAAAATTTCACAAATATAATCTCATACCAGGATATAAGTGTTTCTAAGTTTGAAGTAAATTCAATTAGTTGTTTGGAAACTACACATTCAGAACATGACATTGCCCTAGAGACTTGAATGTTTTCTTTGTTTGTCTTATAAGTCCCTAAATAATATTACTTGGAATTTCCAGTTTTGCTTGATGTATGTCTTACTTCAAATGTAAAGAGTTTATATGATGCTTTAGATATCTTACCTACATGTCTTAAGTATTCTGTGCCAACCCAGGAACTTCCTGAACTGTGTAGAAACAGATGGCACATCTCCGTGCTGGGAGCTTCCTAAAGCTTTCAGCTGACTCAGCAAAGTGTTACAGCACATGTATTTTGGTTTGTAGACGTTAATTACCATTATCTTAATTCTACTGATTTTCAATAAGTGAATAGCCACTGTCTTTGTAGGGGCTGTCTGATGGGAGAAATGGACAGTGCTAGCTGCTACTGGTTACCTTAATCACATTTATCTTCAGTTGAATCTCAGAATGTACCCTGTTTAATTTCAAAATAGAGCAAAAATTCCTTTTGCAAGCTCATACGACAAATCATCATCAATACTAGGCCTTCTGTCTTCATCCACCACACTCAGTTGATCAGAATACTGATATTATTTAATCCACTCTCTTGGAGCTGTAATCTGTTATGTCAACACATGGAGTACTTGATAAGCAGCCAGATGTGCAAGATGTCACCCAGATGTGGCCTGTGGGCAGACCATGACTTACTGGAGCAGCCACTGAAGCCTGGTGGAACACCTGGGGCATCTCCACTAGTATTGGACTGCAGCGTAGGCTAACTGAACCAAACTCTTTATGTCTGAATGTGTGTCCTTGATAAACAAAGTCACAGATGTGTATCTGAAGCAGTGAGAAGGCTTTAATCATTTTGGAGTGGCCAGTTTGAGAAAGCTTACAAACCTGACAGAGGGAGTGCTGAAAAAGATTCAATTAAGTGTCTCAACTTGGGTATCCAGTAGGTCTCTCAAATATGTTGACCTGTTTTGCAAGCATTGCTGAAAGCAAAGTCGTGAGTATGTTACATTTTGGCTTGAGGAGGAGGAGGGGAAGAGTTATGCAGGAGTCTTGGTGTCAGGGGATGATTCTGAAAGGGATCTTGAACTTTGGAAAAGAGGGCAAGGAAAAAGGGGACCTGATCCTGCAAAATCATTAATGGCGTGTTTGCCAGAAATCCTGAGGTAACTTGAATGAGGACTTGTGGTTGATTATTTTCCTTTTTTCTGTGTCTTATAACCTGTGTTTGGTTAGTAGATGTAGGTTGAGCTTGGGTCAGAATATCAAGGTTTAGTGTGGTTGTGAAGCGTGTTAGTTGCAGTTTACTGTTTGCAGTTACAGAAATAGAGGCTCAGATCTGATTTTGATTTGTTCTGTGACCGCAGGTTTCTGAACCTTATCTTCACTACTGTTGCTGTTGTCTGTGGTTGAGAATAAAGTGTACTCCCTGTGCAGTGGAGCCAGAAGAATTAGCATTGCATAACTTTGAAAGTTAGCTAAATATTTCAGATTGTTGTAGTGTTTTGTACAGCTTTGAGGAGCCAAGAGTGGTAGTTGCCAGGGAAGAAAATACATCCTATGATATATTGCATTCCCTAGTCGTTTCACGGTACAGCTCTATAGCATTGAGGGGGAACTGAATTTTAAAATAAATTTATAAATAGAAATCTGTTGGAAATTATTTGACATTTATGATCAACTCTTGATTTTGAGGGAATTAAAAGAGTCTATCAATATTGTATGCCAATTGCATTTCTAAGAGATTAAAAATATTGATTGATTGGTTGACTTCTCAAGTTCTTACAGTGTAGCTCTAAACCAAGGTTTAAACTGGCATTTATTGTATTCACCTGGCATTTATTTATTGATCTATTTATAGAGCAGTATGTCAGGTTGCACTTTTCTGTAATCTCTGCCCCGTAAAGTTTCATTCGCTCCTCTCCTTTCTCCGTCCCCCATTCCCTCAGTCCTTGTATAAAATGTATGATACTGTTCCTTCTAATTTCTTTAAGCAGAATAAATAATGTTCTGAGAACAAAATTAAAAGACTGCTTTTGTTGATTTCACTTCTGTAACTAATTCTTAAGGTCTTTGTTCCATTAGTATGCTTTAACGTGCATTTCTGTAGCTGGGTCTATCACAATACTTCGATGGGAGGGACGGTGTTATTTCGTGAAAGATTTAAAGTTGTCTGTAATTGGAATTCCTGGCATTCATTATTTTAGATCTAATGAGATCCTGGTGCTAACTAACCTTATGTGTGTACTTAAGAAGCTATTTCTTTTATAAGTAATTATTAATTGGAGAGTTTCTGGGATGCTTCTTGGTAGTTTATTGGGAGCAATTAATGAGTCTCAGCTTTTTAGTTGGTGTGTAACACAGGTTGTTAATGCTTCTGCTGTTGACTTATGTTGTCTCTCCTGAACCATTGAGGCTGTGACAAAAGAGCTGTCTTTTTAGGAAATTTTAAGTCTCAGATTCAAAGTAAACTCCCTGAGCAGCTGGTATCCAGTGACATACTGCAACTATTGCGTGTACAACTGAGTTGTTTTATATTCTGTTCTTTTCTCTTTCACTAGCTGGGGAGGAAAGGAGAAGAAAAACTATTTTACCTCCACCATGAAAAAAAAGATGGGATCTAAAGAGCCCTTTTCATGTCAGGCCCTGTATTAACTAAAGTGGCACTTTGAATACCGTCATCTCAACTTGACCCAGCCACACCTTAGTTACAGAAAAGTGATTAGAAATTTGTTCAAGGCTCTGTGCAGATTGTGCCTTACGCTCTTCGACAGGCTGGGTGACTTTATTAAAAGTTATCACTTGTCGTATTTAAGGTATTTGGTGTTAAGATAGGACATTTAAGGTCATTAAAGGTCACTGACATTTAAGGGCAGTTTTTCAATTACAACTAGTGAATTCTGTAAATAAGTATATGCTGTTTCTTAAGAATTCTGGCTTTATTAGGAGAGATTTTTTTTTGTAAATTAAAAAAAAAAAAAGATACAAATTCTGTAGTCGTGGAAGATACCAGCTTCCATTATTTTGCTTTCTTTGATAGGTAAAAAGCTCTTACCTGTTCTGTGGTAAAACAAGAAACAGAGAATGAATCACCTTTGGCACTTAGGGTTCTGAACTGTATTCCTCCTGCCTACTTCATTAAGGTTAGCTTTCCCATGATCTTTATAAAAATGCTTACACTGATGGGCTTTTCTGAGAAATGGAGGTTAGCTTATTTGTGATTTAATTGTCTAAGATCTGTCATTTTAAGTAACTGTGTCAAGATCTCACTAAACTAGATACTGTTGGTCATGGTGGGTAGTAAACCCATGATACCAGTACTTCCAGTCTACAGAATTAACTGCTGTGGAAACCTGCTCAATTACAGGTGTTATGATTCACTGTACGTAAGATACGAAAGAGGTATATAATATTTTTTTCCAATTTCAGCCCCTCCTAATATGCTCTTACTGCTTTGGGTCCAGCCTGTTCTAGTCTTGAGATGTCATAGCCACCAAGAAACCTTGCTGAAACATGGAGTTCACCAAGTTTTGAGAGTGGGGGTGGGACAGGTAAGTGGTGTTTCTTACTTTATATGACGCTCTTTTGCAATTTAAAAATATATACTAATGTTCACACTGGAGGTCACCAGTTCTTTCCCTTTGTATTATTAACTAGTTCTTAAAAAAAACCAAAAACTTGCAAAACTGCGCCATAGAGTGAGCAAACACTGTTTCCTTTCGTTCTCTCCCCCCTTCTCATTGGCGTGTTCTTTTTGCCGGCAAGATCCTTTGGTGTTTTATCTTCCAGAATACAGAATATTGTTAGGATTACTTTTGAGTACATGCGTTTCGACTTCAGAGTCTTTCATTTTCAGGAAAGTGGAGAGTGAAAGGGTAAAATTGGACATAGGTTAAAATAATTTATGTGCCTGATAGAGCAGTGATCACATGGCATTACTGTAGTGGTAAATCAGCTTTTTAACATACAGAAATCATATTACTCATAGTCCCTTTCTCCCTTTTTAATAACTAAGAGGCGTTTAGGTACATCTGTATATTTTACTGGATTTATATATAATAGTAGGCTGTTTTTAATTTTGAAAGTGGTTTTACAGGTAGTTACTTATTCTTAACAAAACCCTGCGGATGTAAATGTAATTATCTGTAGTTGTTTTAGGGGAAGAATTGTGTCAGCGCATGCTGGCAGTTTTCCCCAAGTGTATTAGGATTGGGACGTCTTCTGCCACTCTGCTATTTTGCAGTAGTTGGCTCAGGAATAACTCTGGAGATTTACTTTCAGCAAAATTTACCTTGCAATAAAGTATAAAAAGATTCTGGGGGGAATGACTTAGTGAAAGAAGTTTGCAAGTGGTGCATGCTAGTGATTTCTGATACTAACTTCTTCATTGTAGAAAATTATTTTCATTGTGTACGGAGCCTCCAAATGTGATTAGCTGGGTCCCGCTGCTGTGTCAGTGTGTTGTCTCAAGTGGAAATAGCTTATTGATAGGAGATGAAAACATGTATGGGAATGCAGGCTGAGAGAGAGGAGACTGAAACGTTATGAACTACGAAGTCTTCTGGTGTGGTAGCAGGAAGGAATGTATGTTTGAAGCTGTGATTCTCTTGTTTCCTGGTAACATTTTATGAAAAAGCTTTCACTTTCTGGGCTGAAATATTATTTCTGCCTAAAATGAATACGGAGATGGAAAAGAGGATGGAAAGTGTACTCTTTTTCCAGCTTAGGTGTCACTGAGTTTCTTGGATGTTTTTTTGAGAATGGCATATTTTTTGTCATTTATCTGTTGTCACAGACATGAAGTATCTGATAACTGAAAGTTAATTATATTTGAGAGGCCTGCTTTTGAAGAATGCTTTTTTAAGTGCCTTTTGGGAGGAGGAAGACCGCTTTGAAAGAAGAATCACAAATGTAAATAGTGTCTTTTTTTTGTGATCCTACTTTGTCTGTGGTTTTCTTGTTTTTAAAGTCATAAATGATGGAGTGAGTAGAACTTTGAAAGGTATTAAATCCTAGGAGCATCTACTTACATCTTGCAAAAGCATAAATGAATATATTAATGTTTGGTATATGCATAGTTTAAGTATTGCGCATTTAGTAATTTCTCTGTATGGAAAAAATAGCTAGATTCTACAGTTACCCTGTAAACTATTGTTGGCAGTTCTGTTTTCTTGGAAAACAGTTGCCACTGTCACAGCTTCTAAGATGCATCCACATGGGTTTTGATACTTGTTTGCATGAAGAGGCCAGATACTACAAAGAATTATGCATTTACGCTGTGTTCACTTTACAGACATATTTTAGGGGATTTTTGTAAGTTGGAAAAAAAACCCAAAACATTTAAGCTTGTGTAATTCTAGCATTCGGTGTTGATGCTTTGTGACTTCTGAAATATGTGAATTCTGCTCTCAGACCGTGCATTTCCATAGGTTCTGTGGGTAGTGTTCAGGAATGTATCTTTAGATATGCTGCCCTTTTCAGTAATTTTGCAGCTTGAGAGAGAAAAGCTTGTATTTAGAATGTTTGTTGCAATCACAATTTTTCTATAAATGTGAGAGGATTGGGGTTTTTCCCATCGGTAACAACCTGTCTGCCTTTCACTAAGCGTCTGGAATGAGATTGCGCTGAAACACATTTCAGGGCTAAGACATAACAGCGAAATTAGTAATGAGTTGATTTTATTTTCTTGGAATAACTGCCATTTACTGCATATTATCCATGTAAGGGTAGGGTGTTTTGAATTACTCAGATCCATCTTAGTTTGTCTGATTTTAAATAGATCACAGTTATTCTGAGTCCTACAGATTTCAGATAATCCCATTCGTTTAAAAATACCATGTATTTAATGGAGTTTGGGAGAGGAGGTAGTGTGGGAGGAGCATCAGTGCTATATTTAATACATAATAGTAAAATCCTGTATTATAGTAAATATGTGGAAGGTTGAAAAATGGAACTTCTGACAGTTCCTCCTGAAACATTAAGTGTCAGCTTTGAAGTCTTAATCACTTCCCAGTGTTTGGAAGTCCCCTCTACAAGTCGCAGATGTTTGCAAGCCCAGTAACAGGGCAAGTGGGTTGGCCTCTGCTGCAGGTGGCCATGTCTTGAGCCAGGATCTGGTGAGAGCCCTGCACTGGGCCCCTCACCAGTAGTGAAGGGTCTCCGCCTCCCCTTTTTGAAATCAAAGCCCTAAATAGTTGTTTTGAACATATTTGACTGTTGAAATCTGAAAGTCAAACTTTATGTTTACAGTGCTTGATCCTCCAGAGGGAATTTCATTAAACTCCAAATGAGGCCTCTCCTATCTCTTTTTGTTTTGATTTTGAAGCAGTCACAAAAATAGCACCAGAAATTGTGTCCAGAAATCATTCCTCTTCATTATCACTAGAGAGTTGGGTCGGGTTAGAGCCATGGCACAGCATCAAGCAAGAGGAAACGTGGCGTGTCCTAAATATAGTGTTTACCTTATAGTGTGGTGAAATGCCTAGTAGGGCAGTAGCTCATGCCAAACTATTTTGGGTTTATCTGTGTTGTGCAGTGCCAAGTAGAGGTCCTGGATGGGGTTGTGGCAGTGTTATAGCTGCATTAGCACAGTGTGCTGTTGGAACTGAGGTACTCATCTTCTCAGCAAGGCTGCAGGGTGAGCCTGGGCGAGATACCTAGATAATCTGAATATAAGAAAGTTTATGTGGATGTATCTGAAGTACTTTCATGGTTCTGCTTTATGCTGTGTAAACGTAAGCGAGGCAACTTGGGTTTCTAGCCCTGTGGTTTGGGATGGAAGGATGTTGTATGTGGTGCTACTGACTTCACAAGAAACAACACTCTGGCAGCTTTTTATTTGTATCTGATGTACAGGTATCTTTTCAAGCAAGTGCTATCTTATTAATGTATTATATTAGGGAAAGGATGAGGAAAGGTTTAGTTCTGTCTTAATAATCTTCTAGTTGTTAGGAGTGTAATGGGAAGCTGAGTATTGCTGCTTCTTGCAGTCCGAATCTGTTTATAACGTGTTGTCTGCTGTGTGTAGTTTTGCCGAGGTACTGCAGTATAAGAAATAATGGAATGGTTTTTGATTGCTGCCAGCCAGGATGCCCAATGAATGCTGTATGTTATAGGAACAGTTACTTTGATTTGGTTTCTAGAATTTACCCTCCTCACACTGGGGGGGAAAGAATCTCCTCTCATTCCTGCTAATATGCAGCTCTATCTTCATTTTGTCCTTGCTTTATCTCTGCTGCAAATATCTCATAACATTCCAAAGATCTATGTGTGTGCAGGGCTGAGTGGGAGATCATGTTTATAAATACCCATGAGCAATTGAAGGAGGAATATTGTAGTGTGGTTTAGGGGGAGGGGCGTGTGACAAGGGGAAGGGAGTTAGAGAAGAAGTCACAGATGAAATGATGAGAATGGCAGTAGGAAATAGAAAAAGAACAGCCAAAGGGCAGTACAGGATTCATTGTAACTGAGAATGAAGGGGAGGGTGTGTGTGGAGTGGTGTTGAACGTGATAAAAGCTCAAAAACAAGATTCATATTAGTTAGTTTAAAAATTGAATTAGAAAGTTGATACCAGTATGATTACAGTACACAAACGTGTGTTCTCTTAATTGCAGGAGGCATGGTTAGAAGAACTTTATATTATACTTGGATGTCTTTTGATACTGTCAAATAAACAAATGGTATTGTTTTGCCTTTGTAGGAAGATGAAAAATTTCTGACAGACTTGTTTGCACAACTAACAGATGAAGCCACAGATGAGGAGAAAAGACAGGAATTGGTAAGAAATCTGTAAAATACACATGAAAGGGACAGTTACTACCAAGTGATACGTGCATCATTTTTTAACTAGGATATTATTCCTGTTTTTCAGGTAAATTTCCTGAAAGAGTTTTGTGCATTCTCTCAAACACTGCAACCTCAAAACAGAGATGCGTTTTTCAAAACCTTGTCAAATATGGGCATACTGCCAGCACTAGAAGTCATATTGGTAAGTCAGTGCAATTTTGTTTATGATAATATCTCCAGAGAGGTTTTTTTTTTTAAAAGTAAGCCAGGCAAACTTAAGTCACATGGTTTTCTGAATTGTTGCTTCATTTGTCTTGTCTTAGCTTGAGATTCAGGACATATAAAATATTTTTATACAATTTTAAAAGCATTTACAGTATGACATTGGTAAGTGCCCTGGCATTCTCACATTTTTGTTTTGTCCTTCACTTCCTATCTCTACATGCTTCTTGGTATACAATTAAGTAAGAAAATAGGGAAATATACCAAAGGGCAGGGAAACTATAAAATTTATTTTGGCTACAGTTGTCAAATATACAAAAAAGAGGTTAGAGTCAATTGAGTTTTAGAATACAGTTTTAGTACTAGTTAGGTATGATTTGTAAGTAGGAATTAAAAGCTGTATGCTCTCTGGTTTTCATTCCATTTAAGCCTTTTCTTTTAAGGAAACATAAATGGTTTTATATGACTTTTTCAGGGTATGGATGATGCACAAGTACGAAGTGCAGCCACTGATATATTCTCATATTTGGTTGAATACAACCCATCCATGGTACGAGAGTTTGTCATGCAGGAAGCGCAGCAGAATGATGATGTAAGTAGAGGGACCCCAGAAAAGTGTGTATTGTTTTTCAAAATTACTCTTTTATATTTATGACTCTATTAAACAACATGAGCCTGGGTTCTGAAGAATTGCAGAATCACAGAATGATAGAGGTTGGATGGGACCTCTGGAGATCATCTAGTCCAACCCCCCTGCTAGAGCAGGGTCACCTAGAGAAGGTTGCACAGGAACATGTCCGGGCAGGTTTTGAATGTTTCCAGAGAGAGAGAGACTTTATCACCTTTCTGGGCAGCCTGTTCCAGTGCTCTGCCACCCTTAAAGGAAAGAAGTTCCTTGTCATGTTTAGATGGAACTTCCTATGTTCAAGTTTGTGCCCATTACCTCTTGTCCGGTCACTGGGAACCACTGAAGAAAGGCTGGCCCCATCCTCCTCTTGCCCACCCTTTAAGTATTTATAAGCATTGATACGATCCCCCTTCAGTTTTCTCTTCTGCAGACTAAAAAGGCCCAAGTCCCTCAGCCTTTCCCTGTAAGAGAGATCTTTGTAGATCATCTTAATCATCTTTGTAGCCCTTTGCTGTATCCTCTCCAGCAGTTCCTTGTCCTTCTTGAACTGGGGAGCCCAGAACTGGACACAGTACTCCAGATGGGGCCTCACCAGGGCAGAGTGGAGGAGGAGGCTAACCTCCCTTGACCTGCTGGTCACAATCTTCCTGATTGCACCCCAGGATCCCATTAGCCTTCTTGGCCACCAGGACTCCTAGGTCTTTTTCCACAGAGCCCCTATCCTGTAGCAGTGCATAGGGTTATTCCTTCCCTGGTGCAGGACCTTACAGTTGCTCTTGTTGAATTTCATAAGGTTTCTCTCCGTCCATCTCTCCAGCCTGTCTGGGTCTTGCACAGCAAGAGTATAGCAGCACAGCCTTCTGGTGTGTCAGCCACCCTCTCATGGAACTTCCTATGTTCAAGTTTGTGCCCATTACCTCTTGTCCGGTCACTGGGAACCACTGAAGAAAGGCTGGCCCCATCCTCCTCTTGCCCACCCTTTAAGTATTTATAAGCATTGATACGATCCCCCTTCAGTTTTCTCTTCTGCAGACTAAAAAGGCCCAAGTCTCTCAGCCTTTCCCTGTAAGAGAGATCTTTGTAGATCATCTTAATCATCTTTGTAGCCCTTTGCTGTATCCTCTCCAGCAGTTCCTTGTCCTTCTTGAACTGGGGAGCCCAGAACTGGACACAGTACTCCAGATGGGGCCTCACCAGGGCAGAGTGGAGGAGGAGGCTAACCTCCCTTGACCTGCTGGTCACAATCTTCCTGATTGCACCCCAGGATCCCATTAGCCTTCTTGGCCACCAGGACTCCTAGGTCTTTTTCCACAGAGCCCCTATCCTGTAGCAGTGCATAGGGTTATTCCTTCCCTGGTGCAGGACCTTACAGTTGCTCTTGTTGAATTTCATAAGGTTTCTCTCCGTCCATCTCTCCAGCCTGTCTGGGTCTTGCACAGCAAGAGTATAGCAGCACAGCCTTCTGGTGTGTCAGCCACCCTCTCCTCAGTTTTGTGTCATCAGCAAACTTGCTGAGGCTACACTACTGAAATACCATGTTTTTTAAAGTTCTGTTAGTCAGGTGAGATGAGCGTTCACCTGCTTACAGACTCTTGTCCATTGTGTGTAAAGTAAAACAGGTTACTATAAATCACCATTTTGATTAACATCCACTGTCATGTGAGCAAAACAAAATGTTTTTGAACGATGACCTCCTTAAAATGTGAAATATCTATTTCAGTCTTGCACACGTGTTTCTAACTTACTTGAAAGAAACTTGTGTTCAGTTCATTATCACACACATTGAAAGTGGAATTATGGTCCTAAGTGTTTAAGAACACGTTTTGAGAGATCTTAATTTCCCAGAGATCCTCTGTAGCTGATGAATACAAAATGCTAACACACAACTAGTAGTAAGAAAGGGGTTTCAAAGCGGTATTCAGTGGAGAAGAAACATTGTGCTGCCATTTCCATAGAGGAGATAGTTAATTTATTTTCTTGTATCTGCTAAAAACATGCCAGAGAAGAGGAAACTGCTGGTGCTGCTACTTCTGTACTGGAAGAAAGGGGCAGCTGGGACCGGGAATATCAGTGGTGGTTCCAGCCGCTTGAATCTGATGACTGTCCTCTTTATGGGGGACAGGGGTAACCAAGCAACTTGAGCGTAGGGATTCCTAAATGTAGGTACTATTTTGTATTTTTATCTGTTATTCTTGTTTTCTGTGAATACACATTGGGGTTATTTTTAGGTGGAAATAATCTCATCAAGTTCAAAAGCATTATGAAACTTATTGTTGTATGCTTGTGGAAATAAAACTCTTGGTATATATTTAAAGGGAATTCCATGAAATTAAAACTTCTCTTTTCTGAAAAAGCTTCCAGAAAGCAGTTGAATTTTGAGACTGTTAAGTATCTACCTCTGTACATTTTATCTTTTGGTGTTTCAGTTCAGACTAAATTCTAAATTAGGTTGTTAAATTCAGAACCATTTTTAGTTGCTTTGAAAGATTCTTCTTCACTGTTTGCCTTCTTACTGTTGAACTGCTGAGCAGAATGTGTCACTGACATGTAAAATGAATTTCTTTCTGTTAAGTTTGGAGGGTTTTGTTTGGTAGTTGTTTATATTTTACAAAATTTTGATAGAGCACCATTTTTAGCCAGGTGGTAACCCTTTTAGAAGATAATTTCAGATTTGGGGCAAAGGACTAGCACTGGAATTGATTTTTGCTTTTTTTTTTTCCCTGTTAGGATATATTACTCATTAACCTCATTATAGAACACATGATTTGTGACACGGATCCGGAACTTGGAGGGGCAGTGCTACTCATGGGTTTACTTCGTACTTTAGTTGATCCAGAAAATATGCTTGCCACTGCCAATGTAAGTAAATACCTTCAAGTGAAATTACATTTGGTTTTTTAGAGTATTTGGTGATATGTGTTATGTATATAATTTTTTTTTTCATTCTTTAGAAAACAGAAAAGACAGAGTTCTTGGGTTTCTTCTACAAACATTGTATGCACGTTCTGACAGCCCCTTTATTGGCCAATACTACAGAGGACAAGCCTAGCAAAGGTAATGCCACTCCAGATTTTGGGCACATGAGGACTGTTGAATGTCAATGTTTAAAATAGAATAACTGTTAAAGGACTTTTCTGTCTTTAAGAGAATCTAAAACTATGATACATAGTTCAAAAATAAAATGTTGATATGTGATTTAGTCATCTGAATAATTTCTAAATATAAAATCAGCGAAGAGATCTGATTTCAGAAATGAACAGCGTTTGCTGCAGATTTTGCTTCAACAAGAATTTTTAGTGACTCATGGGGCGGTTCAGTTACATAGACTTGTAAATGTATAAGTATTTTTTTTTAAGGTCAGGGATTACTAGAGAGAGTGCAGAATTGCCTGTGGGAAGGTGTGTATCACAATATTGTGCTGAATTTGAAGGTATTGGTTCTATATCAGACTAAGAAAGCAGAGATCAGTGACGAAGTAACTGTTCTTAATGGCTACTAGCAGCAGTGTTTGTTTATTAATAGTATAACACATCCGAAATGGATGTAAAAGGAGGTAGATAAATGATACATAAACTGAAACATACTCTAAAGTTTTTAATTTATTATATATATTATTTAAATTAATCTGTTTTATCTCAACTGGCTTCCAGTAAGATTGGAAGTGAGATTTGTACTATTTAAAATTCTTATGTTCTTTAATGGTCAATAAGCTGGCAATATTTTTAAAAAGGTAGCCCTACCTTTTAAAAAAAGATTATATCTAATGTGTATTTAATGTATTATCAATCTACTTAAGAGCAGGATTTGAGTTATGATTTGTATATGCTGATATAATTATATCCTAGAAGTATTAAAAGAGCCTGAGATATTTCTTGCATAGTACTTTTGTTAAAAGGCAGAATAGATCACATTTTTGATATAAGCGTAGTCAAGGCACTGCATATAGGGCAATAATTTATGGTATAGACCTGTGGATGTCATAATGAGACTTGGTTAAATAAGCCTGACCACATGTGTTAGTTCTAAGTTCTGTATTCTGTGAACCTTCAAACACTGATTTGAGACAGACAAAATGTAATTGTTTCTGTAGTTGAAGAGGGTTTCCTGCTATATCTGTATAAATAGAAAATACTCAGTCCATAACAAGCTTGTTCAATTTCTATTTTAAAGATTAAACACACCCTGCAGCACGTTCCCTAAACTATCTGTGGGAGTATACAAGAACTTGGAAACATTTACCAGGCTGCAGTTGGATATTTGAAGTTGGCTTCTGAAGGCAATATCCTAGATATGTTTAATTATTTTGGTTTTGTTTTTATTACAGATGATTTTCAGACAGCCCAACTCTTGGCATTAATACTGGAATTGCTAACTTTCTGCGTAGAACATCATACTTATCATATAAAGAACTACATCATTAACAAAGATATCCTGCGAAGGGTACTTGTTCTCATGGCCTCAAAGCACGCTTTCTTGGCATTGTGTAAGTTTGAAAGCTAAAGAATAAACTATGATTTTGTTAATTGTGAAGTGTTACATATCTTCATTCTGCTGAAAGAAGACTGTTCACAGATAATGACAATTCGTGACTGAATACAGAAGTTCTACTATTATACTTTGTGTTTCTCATAACAATTTATAGATATGTCAGCAAGTATTAGTAAATAATTTTGCATTTATAGATGTATTTTTTTCTAAAAAGCAGAAGGATTTTTCTGAATCTCAGTGTAGTGGTAAATTGAAAAGATGGTATCTTGATATTGAATATCCTGAGAGAACCATTGTAAGTGTTGTTATTTTTTTAGTAGAAATTATCAGAGGTATTTAATTAGAGATATGGTTATCTGTCTGCATTAAACTGCAGAGAAGCTCAGTGTGCTGTCTTTAAACTCTGGTGGTTTCTTGACCATGCTCAGCACATTGGTAGCAAAGCAGCACGACTTCATTCTGGAGGCAAGTAAGAGATTTTTTCTGTGATTCCATTGTACACATCGAGGAAAACAAAGCCTAAAGTTGACTGAGCAGTACCATACGATAAAAAGTACCTTTTAAATTTGTAACTGAATCAACTGAGTTTGGTTTTAGAGCTCTTGAATAATCTTTTTTTCATGTATACATAGTTGCTAACCAAAAGCTGCTGCCTTACAGTGGGATGATACTCTGCTTTCTGTTTATGAATGCACATTCACGTACTTGTGTACATTTCAGAGTTTCAGAAAGAGCTTTAAACTGGCTGTAAATTAAGTCTTTGCTTTAATATGCATGTGAAGGAAATGTCATTTACCAATTTTAAAATTAGGTAGTTTGCATCCTAATCAAATAGGACTTAATTAAATGTAATCAAACTTACATTTGAATAATAAGAATGATAAGTAAATTTCCAAGTTCTTCTACTGAGAAAATATTTTACCTTTATCATAAGTAATTTGAAAAATTGAAAGTACACCCTTATATTAGTTGTAATATAGTTCAACAATAGTACATTATTTCTTTGGTGAGCAGAGGTGGTTTCACTTGTACACTTATAATGGGGGATTTCTTTATGATAAAATAAATAAGTAATCTTTAGCAGTATAGTCAAGACTGTTGAGAAGCAGAGAATAGGTGAATGTATTACCTGGTTCTAATAATGTAATGCTGTATAAGAACTGAGGTTGCAAATTGCCCTAACTAGTGCTGAGTAATTTCTGGATTTTTTTTTTCTTTTACATTTAAAAATTCCTCTGACAATATTTCTGTTTCAGGTGCCCTTCGTTTCAAGAGAAAGATAATTGGCCTGAAGGATGAATTCTACAACCGTTACATAATGAAAAGTTTTTTGTTTGAACCTGTGGTCAAAGCATTTCTAAATAATGGTTCCCGTTATAATCTGATGAACTCTGCCATAATAGAGATGTTTGAATTTATCAGAGTGGTGAGTGCTGTTAGATGCTGAAGATAATTACTGTATTGTTTATCTTGTAGTCCAGGAAGACTTTTCTTTTTGCTTGTTATGGGATTTATGCTATTGTAATGGGATTATATGATGCTGTATTTAAATTAACTTTCTTTTATATCAGTGTTACATACTTGTAGATGTTCTTTCTTAAGTTCAAACAGTACTGTGACTTGAAAATGAAACGTATTCGATAACGTATTCACAGTACCCAGATCTGCAAAGGCAGCACTAATCAAGTTTCATCGGGCGGATTGGACGGGCTTGTTACGACAGGAATGTAATTTGAAACTACTGCTACAAAAAAATCAAATTTAGCTGTGCTCTGTAACGTCAATTCAACAGAATATGGAAACATGAAGAAGAGATATCAGTCTTTCTTGATGATATTAATGGAGCGCTACAAAGTTCCTTCCAGAGGGAATTTCTTAAAATATTCATGCCATTTTGGCTGTCTGCACAGTACTGTTTCCTCACTGTTGTTTGCATCCAGATCCTGACAAGATGCTGTACAGACTCTAAATGTGTAAGTGGGGCCAAGCTAGGGTGCAGGCAGCCTTGGAGGAGTAAGTGGGTGAGGAAAAAAAGGGCTTTGTCAGCTCTTGAAATCTTCTGTGCTCATGACCTCTTTCCTCCTTGAGTTGGGACTCAACATAATTCAAGACTGAGATCAGCTGGTCATCATGGAAGAGTTGATTTAAAAATGGTTTTGAAGCTATTAAAAAAGTTAATCCACGTAGGTGGCCCTGACTTCTGTGCTGTGGTCTTTCAGTACTCTGTGAGATTGGGTGTTCTTTCTACAGTTCATGTGATGGGGAAATCAATCATCTTTTATTTTCTTATCCTTTTCACATAGATACCCAGGTTGCATTTCCAGAATACTTGGTATCTGTAAATACCTTTTTTTCAATTTTTCTTTCATCCAGAGAGAAAATTAAAAACAATAAAAGCGTGCTTTGATTCTTACTGATGTATCACCATTCATAAGAGGTGACCTTTAAACACATAACTGGAAAGAAAAATAATCAGTGTATTATTAGGATTTAGGTTGCTTTGCTTGTCTTTAGTAGATGGTAATTCAGGTGTTTATTCTGCAATATTCCAGGGGCTGTGCAGTGGTTAGAAAGCCTAGCAATGCACTGGAGCAGTTTTCCTGCTGCAGTGTACAAACCTGTGCTCATCTCAGCTGTCTAGAGGGGCTTTGGGCAGCCCCAACACCGAGCTGAAATAGCAGAACAGTTGGGAGGTTTTTTGTAAGGGACCTTGACCAGCACTACGTGGCCACAAAGGAAAAACTTGATATTAGTTTCTCATGAAAAATAGCTCCCTTGTTCTCATCCTAAATAAATGCATTGAATAATTATTTTTACGTAAGTAATTTATTTGCAGTGAGGAAAGAAACAATATGAGTGCAGAGTCTGTATATCATAAACATATTTTTAATTGACTGATTAAAACGGGTATCAGTTAATCTACCAATCTGAAAATATTTATAAGTTATGGTGGGAAAGACCTTTAGAATTGGTTTTGGCATCGTTTTCTGTCAGGGTTTTAGGTTCTGTTCATGTGTTTTGAAGGGGATATTGCTAGAAAATTGCTGCTATTACACCTATTTTGCTAATCAAATATTAGAATCTCTAGATTTTCAAGTACACTTGTATGCATCATCCTCATTTTTGCATAAGCTAATTAATATGATGCTTCCTATTGAATGTTTAAAAATAGTTTCATTTGAGTTACTTTTTATATTATATTAATTAAGTGCATTTGAATGAAAATAAGTCACTTTATGTTTGTTCATTTCTATAGGAAGATATAAAATCATTAACAGCGCATGTAATTGAAAATTACTGGAAGGCACTGGAAGATGTAGATTACGTGCAGACATTCAAAGGACTGAAACTACGATTTGAGCAACAAAGGGAAAGACAAGATAATCCAAAACTTGACAGGTAAAATACACTAAATGCTCTTACTAATATATCAATGCTTTAATTCTGTTTTGGGAATATTGGTGGGTTGTAGTATGATAGTGGAAATGTAAGTAGTTTAGATTCCTGCTTGCATTTCGAGTGTTGTTGAATTTACTTGATCAATAGTGTTATTTTCAGATGTGTTGCTTTGAACTCTTGATCATTTTTCAGCTAACATAGTAGTTGCTGGACCCCAATAATAACGCTACGTTGTCATATCTTAAACTTAGATACATTATTGTAATGAGGCTGGAAGCCTTTGAGTATCTGAAGTTCATTTGCTTAAATAACAGATTCCTACTGTTTGATTTGAATGGTTCTTCAGTGAATTACCATTCGGTGGATTTTTCCTTTGGAATTGCACATCGGATTTCCTTTTATTTTAGTTAGTTGTGGGTGTAGATATGTAGATAAGCACTAACGAAATTATTGAGAAGTAGAATATACAAAGAAATTTTTAGAAGATACTTTTTTGTCACTGTTAGATTTGCTGGAGTAAAAAACAGTCTGATGTAACACGCCTCCTGTTTGCCAGAGCAAAAGTTCCCTTCCTTAGTACACAGTTACCCAAAGTTGAAAGGTTAGGGTGTATAAAAATGGGAAGTTTAGGACTTTTTATTAAATGTATTTTTTTGTATTTGGTATTACTTTATGTGTAGTTTCATTCAAATAATGCCTTTGTGAATAGATGAGTTACTCTTAAGAATTGTTAGCATGATCTGGTCTTGTTCTGCTGTCTTGAATTACTTTGAAAACATATTCAAAAATTAATCCTGATTAGTCACGCTAGGACATCTTGAAATTTCAAACTTTTAAGTTATTTCCTGCCACAAAATTTCTTAATCAATATATAAATTTGAGACTTGTATGATTAAAATGAGAGTTCTAAAATGTTGAAACACTTTCAAGAGTATGTGTGGGATCTGCAGTTTCAGTACTAGTGTTTTACAGGTGAGCGCTGTTACTATTTGGCTTGTGAAGACTAAGGTTATCACTTAAAACAGCTGCGAAACTCAAGCTTACGATTAATGTGTGTGTTGGGAAGAACACCCAGCCACTTCCTTCAGTAATGTCCAGCCAGTATAGGAAGTACAACATCAGCCCTTTTCTGGCTTAAATTGAGCTAAGTGATTGTGTATAGTTGGGTCACATGGGTTTATCCGACAAAATGATAGCTTCAAGGGGTCTGTAGCTCAACCAGCCCTGTTTTTATCTTCTTCCTATATGTTATATAGTGTCTGCACAAGCCCTGGCACAAAGCATGTAATTTTTTAAGTGAATACCCAGAAATAATAAAATGCAAAAATAACAAGGAGCTCCTTACGCATTTTACCAAAGAATAGTTCAGTAAAGAATGTGGCCAGAAATGTTGCTGACATGGGCCACAAAAGTATTCGGAAGGATGCCACTTGAGTAGTAGTTTTGCACTATTATCAGAACTTGAATGTAAATGCAATATAGAATGATGCAGTCTGTATAGATCCAGATGATAGCGTTGGCAAGCAAATTATTCAGAATTAGATTTATTTTTAAAAGTACATTCAGTGTTCTTATACCTTGTAAATTCCCAGTTTTTCCCTCCTGGCTTTTTTCTGTAGTCAGTAGTGCAAGACCTTTTCTCTAAATACAATAAGCTCAGACTGTATTATTAACATTTTGATGCCAGTAACAGAGGCTTTATGAAAAATACTAACTTTCAAACTTACATTGTGGCCAGTAAATTCAGTGCTACAGAAAATTTGTCAAGGGTTTCATGCTTTTAGTGGAAATTGACTGTTAGAATCAACACCAAGCAGTGAAAAGAGTGTTTGCAACCTCTCTCCCACTTCTCCCCCTGTTCTTCAGGGTGCACATCACTGTCCTGCTCCTCCAAGGCCATAGTACTGCTTCTGTGAGAAAAAAGGAAAGGAAGGTGGAGTTGAGATAGACCAACACTAATAGTAGATCAAATGCGGAGGGAAAAGTAGCCAAGGCCCTGAGGAATGGAAAATACTGACACTGACAAAAAATTGTAACAGGTGGATGTGGCAGAAAGAGATAGCTTTTTTATGTATCTATTTTAAAGCAGAGACATATTTAAGTTAGATTTTGGGTTGGGTTTTCTTTTCTTTAACACATTGGACCCCAAATTCTGACAAGTTATAAACTATTTTCAGAAAAAAAAAGTCTGTAGTTTCTAAATTCTTTGTTACACAACATTTTATTTACCAGTGCAAACTGTTAAACCAAGTGAATGCAACACTTCAGTGACATTTATTAGAATTACTTTTAATAGTGCTGTTTGTAAGCTACAGAATTTTGGACAGATAGAGTAGTCTGAATGTGCTATTAGCAGAGCTGAGGCTTTATAAAGAAAATTTTTAAGTTGTATTTGCATGGAAAATACAAAGATTTGCATTACAGAATGATTTGCTCATTTTTATTGCTCTACAATATTTGTAGGTGTAAACTCTTAATGTAAATGTCAAGCAGAAGTTTTATTATTAATGTCAGTTGCTTTTTGAATCAAAAGTTTTAAAACTTACTGTTCTGCAGCATGCGCTCCATTTTGAGAAATCATAGATACAGAAGGGATGCAAGAACCCTGGAGGATGAGGAGGAGATGTGGTTTAACACCGATGAAGACGATATGGAAGATGGAGAGGCGGTGGTGCCCCCTTCTGACAAAACTAAAAATGATGAAGATATTATGGACCCAATCAGTAAATTCATGGAAAGGAAAAAATGTAAGTGATGAGAAGAAGAATACCATGTGGCTTATGCAGAAGCATAACTTTTATTCTTTAATCCTACTGCAATGAAGGATTTGCATGTATTTTTCAAAAGTTCTTAGGTTTTAAAACTGTGACAGCAAGCTAATAGACCACCCCTTCAAAACAAGTTTTCTTGTCTGTAAAAGTGTAATGATACAAAATAGCATTGATGATTTCTTAAAGCATTTGAATGTCAATCTTAGCTGATAGACAAGTTTTCCTGTGTTTTATTCAGGTTTATCATTCAAAATTTTCAATGTATATATTCAGGTGATATCATTGGCAGAAAAAAAAGTGTTCATTCCTTGCCAGTGAGCACACCTGCTAGGTAGTGTCGTAGTATGAAGAAAGGGTTTATGACGACTCACTTTACCAAGTTGTACGTAAAGTATGAAGCCTTTTCCCACACAGTGAAAAGATTTGTAATTAAATGTTTTGCTCAATAATACTGCTTTACTTTGGGATTTTTTTTGTGTTTATTTTTTCTCTCCAGTAAAAGAGAGTGAAGAAAAGGAAGTTCTTCTGAAAACTAACCTTTCAGGTCGTCAGAGCCCAAGTTTCAAGCTTTCCTTTTCCAGCGGTACAAAATCTAACCTTACCAGCCAGTCATCTGCAAGTAATCTGCCTGGATCCCCCGGGTCTCCCGGATCCCCAGGGTCCCCGGGGTCTCCAGGATCGGTTTCTAAAAGCACATCTCAGATGGCATCTGTTACAACTAAGGTAATTTTGAGTGGACATGGATTGACTTCATTGTTACAGACTAAGAATTTGCTTTAGCGTCTCTCTCAAGTTTGCGTGAATTCCTACGTCAGGCAGTAATGGACTATCTGGTTTGTGTATACCATTGTTACAGACTAAGAATTTGCTTTAGCGTTTCTCTCGAGTTTGCATGAATTCCTACATGTCAGGCAGTAATGGACTATCCGGTTTGTGTATACTTTTTGTCCTTTTTAGCATTTTTAAGGAGATCTGATATGTATATAAAAAGAATCATAGAATCGTGATTCTAAAAAGAAGAAAAAAAAGCTTTTTTTTAATGCCCAGACTCTTTAAAGTATGAAGCATTCGACTATCTGCTGCTTGCAGCGAACTTTACTGTGAAATACAGACAACACTTTGTTAAATTACAGAGGGCCATTTGGCAGGTAGAAATATAGAAATACTTTGGAAACACTGCCAAATTTTGCCTGACTCCACAATGTCCCACTACCCCCACCTATTGAGAATTTCTACTCTTACTATTTTTAATATTGTTCAGAATTATATAACTGGTATGTGTGAGAGAAATAAATTGTATTATGGAGAGGTGGTTACTGTAAGCCAAAACATAAACAATTTTTAATATCTCATTACTTTTACTACGTCAGGCAGTAATGGACTATCTGGTTTGTGTATACCTTTTGTCCTTTTTAGCATTTTTAAGGAGATCTGATATGTATATAAAAAGAATCATAGAATCGTGATTCTAAAAAGAAGAAAAAAAAGCTTTTTTAATGCCCAGACTCTTTAAAGTATGAAGCATTCGACTATCTGCTGCTTGCAGCGAACTTTACTGTGAAATACAGACAACACTTTGTTAAATTACAGAGGGCCATTTGGCAGGTAGAAATATAGAAATACTTTGGAAACACTGCCAAATTTTGCCTGACTCCACAATGTCCCACTACCCCCACCCATTGAGAATTTCTACTCTTACTATTTTTAATATTGTTCAGAATTATGTAACTGGTATGTGTGAGAGAAATAAATCACATTATGGAGAGGTGGTTACTGTAAGCCAAAACATAAACAGTTTTTAATATCTCAGCATTACTTTTATCTTTTGAAACAACATATAGTTTTGGGTTGGAACATATCAAAGTAGACAAAGAAAGCCGATTTAAAACAGTATAACTTGCATCTTACTATTTTTAATATTGTTCAGAATTATGTAACTGGTATGTGTGAGAGAAATAAATCACATTATGGAGAGGTGGTTACTGTAAGCCAAAACATAAACAGTTTTTAATATCTCAGCATTACTTTTATCTTTTGAAACAACATATAGTTTTGGGTTGGAACATATCAAAGTAGACAAAGAAAGCCGATTTAAAACAGTATAACTTGCACTGAATATCCAAACCCAGCATTTTTAAATACATTTTAGGACGCTGTTGGATTTGATCAGGTTTTTGGCTAAAACTCTATTTAAATCCAGTCATGGAAGTAGAGTGACTGGTGTTTTCTCGGCGCTGAGGTGGTTACTGTAAGCCAAAACATAAACAGTTTTTAATATCTCAGCATTACTTTTATCTTTTGAAACAACATATAGTTTTGGGTTGGAACATATCACAGTAGACAAAGAAAGCCGATTTAAAACAGTATAACTTGCACTGAATATCCAAACCCAGCATTTTTAAATACATTTTAGGACGCTGTTGGATTTGATCAGGTTTTTGGCTAAAACTCTATTTAAATCCAGTCATGGAAGTAGAGTGACTGGTGTTTTCTCGGCGCTGGGGACAGATAAGGTAGTGTTGGTACAGTGTAGTTTGGGTAACAAGAATTTACTTTCATAACAAGTGTTTTCATTTCTGAAAGGTCAGGTAACCCCACAATAACTCTGATTCATTCTTATTTTTTAATGCCATCATAACTGCTTGTTCACCTAACTTCTAGTGAAGACAGTTGGGGGTTTAGGATTTTTTTTCTTTCGTGTAGTTGAATGTAGCTTAAGAGTTTGTGTTTGGATTACCTTCTGTTGAAAACACCTGAATGGGCAGGGTTTGGCTGGTGGAAGAACTAAGTGATGCTTCCTCTAAATCCTTCTGTGGAGGAAAGGGAAGCAGATTTATTTCATTTATTTAAAAAAATACAGTAAGTCAAGTGCTTTTAAAATGGGTGGAATTGGCTTGGGATTTAGTTCGGTCTATTTGGAATTTCTGCTGGAGGCTTGTTCTCTCCCAGACAGTATAATTCCTTGAATCTGAAGCGGAGTCTGTACAAGTGGAGCATATTGCACTCAGTAGTGGCTCCAAAATTTCAAGTCGTTGTGGCAAAAGAAAAATGTTCCAGTTACACTGAATATGCAGTGCGCTGAAAAACCATTTGCAAATTCAGGCATAAGCTGCCTTCTTTGAGTGTAACTGAAAGAAGTTACAGTTTTGGTTACAGATTCTGTAACTGAAAGAAGGTAGCTTATGTATACTGTTTATAAATGTGTACTGTTTATAAATGTGGCACAGTTGCAAACTAGAAACAGTGTTGAAATCAGGTTTTTCAGTAATTATCTGAACGTGTTATTTCATGTGTAGTATACTCAGTGTTTGTGATTTTACAGAATGTGTAATTGTTTATCAAGTTGTATTTTGGTATACTGTTGGCTGAAATTTTGTGGTTTGGATGCCTGTCATTAGACACCTGAATAAGTAATATGATCTTTGAGTGACAGCCATTACAGTCAAATGCTGAATAAGCTTCAAAAATTGCAAAGTACTGTGTAGTTAGAGGAATTTTTTGAAGTTATGCGACTTCTTCATGGGTCCAGAGCTGCCTAATCTTAAAATTTGTAGTTGTTTGCAATACAAGGGAGTTATAAATATTACTAAGCACACTTGCATTATCAGTTGCCAATTAGTTCAAATTGTAAGCTCATACAATTACATTATACAAAACATTATTTGTTACTACACATTTAAACTAGCTTTTGTGAAGACAGCGTTCTAAAATTACTCTAAGTCAAAAATTCCGATTTCAGGATATTCTGTATTTGTTTCTGTAGTGCTTCCAGATTGCCTGTCGCTGCAGTCAGCTATGTTCAGTAAAAAAAAAAAAAAGTACATCTTTACAAATAGACCTGTAGATTCTTTGTTTTTCTTAAATTTCAACTGGAATTATCTCTATCCAGTTTGGATTTATTAATTCAGACATTTTTCAGACAATGTCATTTTCATTCATACTGAAGGATTTATTTTTGTTCTGCTTCATTTTATTCAAAACTTCATGAATCAGTATGTTTATGGTAATATTTGTGCAAACATAATTTTCCAATACAAACGTAAAGTATCAATGTGCAAACATTGTTTAATTATAGTAATTGTGTCTGGTTTTGTAGGGAGGCCTCGTTGGGCTTGTAGATTATCCTGATGATGATGAAGAGGATGATGAAGATGAAGATAAGGAGGAAACTTTACCTTTGTCAAAGAAAGCAAAGCTTGATTCATCATAATGGCAACTGCTGAAGAACATGACCAGTTGGGGGAAGGATATTTTTTCCGAAAATAAAACAAACCCAGCAGTGATCTTTTGTGAATTACTGTGTGTGACACAGACCAACCTATACAAACAGATTTCTGCCAATCAAGTGCCAATTCAAAGGAGCAGAAGAATGGGAAAGATTTCGTTTAGGGGAAAGACTTAAGCCTTTGGGCTCTCCAGCTTGGACCACATGTTGCCCTTTTCTCAGGGAAGGAAATGGAAAAAAATAAAGCAAAAGAAAACAAAAATTAAAAAAAAAAAAGCCAACAGGGCAGGAGTTTTGTTCGTGGAACTCTGGATTGGCTGGTCAGTTGCTACAATCAGAATACGCTTTCTTGGACCATGTATGAATGAGACTTCTGAAGAAAAGGCGGGTTTTGCCATAATTCTTCACTAGTTAAGAATGCCAGCAGTTTCTTTGGATAAAAGAGACCTGCCTTCGAAATCGTACATTCTGAACATTTTAGTCAAGCTACAACAGGTTTTAAAAACCTCTATGGGGAGGGCCGAATATAAAGTTTCCTCTTTTTTTTTTTTTTTTTTAATCTGTTCCCTTTGCCCTTTAAACTGCAGAATTTTTTTTTGGAGGTGGGGGATTTGTTTGTCCCTTCTTGATTAAAGATTGAGTGGAATTCTAGATGTGGTCACTTTTGTGTCATAATTTTTTTTTGCCCCCCCTGAGTGTATGCTTAGTTGTTGAGTATATATTTGGGACCATTAAAATTTTTTGATGTAATATAATCTCACTGTTGTGCTGGTACCTGTTTCACCCCGTGTAATTTTGTTCGCAGTTCTTAATATGTTCAGGATTTTATGGAAGATGGTATAGTTTATATTGGAAAAAAAAATAACCGTACCACAATGTGCATAAAAGCAATACTATTTTGTGACTAAATATTTTATATTAAATTTTACATCGGCAACTGTCTTGAGAAAAAATTCAGGGAAATAGGGTGAAATCAAAAAAGAGAAGCCTATAAATATGAAATTAGTATTCCAAAGAGACTTTGAAATTCGTAACTGAGAACAATGATGGTAGACTAACTCATCAAAATGCAAGATGGATGATTTAGGAATACCAGTATATTGACTCATTTGACTTATAAAAATAAATAAAAAATAATTAAAGCTGAAGGAAAACGGCATTAGTGGTATGTTTTTAAAATCTCTGATTCTCTTTGGAATACCAGTTTTGGTGAATCGAAGATGGTTGTAGAATAAACTCTTTACCTCATACCATCTTTTGAAATTTATTCTAATACTCGATTGAAAAACAGCAATTAAATTATGGGTCTAACTCAATGACTACATTCTTTCCCCTTTTTCCAAAAACTAAATAATATTAGTTACTAATTTGAAACTAAATGTTATATCCTGCTTCTTTTTTGCTTTTGCAGTGCTTCCTGTGAAGGGGAGTTTATTCAGTTCCTTTGCAAACAAGGGACCCTTCTTACATATATTTTCTAGAGTTGATTCCCTTTTGGATATTCAGTGCTCCGATGTTGCAATAGTTGTGATATTACACATGAATGTATCACTTAAAAGTAGAAATAAGAGAAGTGAAAATTTGAGGCTGGATCGTACGTGATCACACCCTTTGTTTCTGAAAATTGTTGGTTGCATGGCAGATCCTCAGCTAACTGCAAATGGCAAAGGTTTTGTGCTGAGATTTTATTAATATGCACTAGTTATTTCACATTTAAATTAGAGTGTGCTTAAGAGAAAAATAATTAGCCATCTTTTCCTCAAAAAGTTCATTTGAAATCAGTTTCCACGGTTAAGATTTTACAGTGTGCTTGAAATGTCTGTGACGGGGCAGTTCTCAGCAAAACGTTTGACACAGAGAGCAAGAGTTGAGCACTCAAGTCACTGCAACACCAGGTACGGTCCTCTGCTGCAGAGTGGGAGTCCCCTTCCTGTCTCAGAAACCTGTCTGAAATCTGATTTTTGCAACTTCGGTGTCAGAGCAGACATCACGACAAGGAAATCTGTAATTTTGCAGGTTTTCTTAATTAGCCAGAATTTAAATCTTTTCCAATCTGTCAGACTTCCCTTGAGCATAAAGCTCTCAAAATTTATCCATATAATGGTTTTCATGTCCTCCAGGCAGTATCTGAGGAAGTCATTCTTCCACATTGGTCAAAGAAACATTTTTTCTTGATGTTTTTTATGATCCTTGAGCTATTGAGTGCTTGATCTTGTGGTGTTCGATGCTGCTGTCTTCTAAACTTTCAGAGACTTTCATAATACTTGTAAGAATCTTAGATTTTTTACTTGAAGTACTTGAAGCATCACATTTAACAGAAGAAATACTATCCTTAAGTTCGGTCAAAATAATAATGGAAGTAGGAACATTTTTGAACTTTTTATATTTCTGTGAAGCTCTAGAGGACTGGTGAAATATTAAGCTGCACATTTTCCAATGCTCACTTGGAGTTAGATGGTTAGTTATCTTCCCAGGCTTCCAATGCTTGTGGCCTGACAGGACATGGCTATGCTTAGATGACACATTTATGGAAGTCAGAAATAGCCAGGAAGTAGGTGAGTTGGGGACAGGGGCGGGTATGCTCTTGCCCAGTGACTTTCACTTCTGTATTCATGGAAATCTTGAAAAATATTTCAGGAAAAAAAGGAAATTGTGGGGTTGGGAGGAGCAATGGATATAAAATTAAAAAAGGGTCCAAGGTAAGAGGCGGTAAAAAACGATGTTACAGAACAGTGTTCTGTTCTAGATCTTTCTTTGGACCGATGTTTTTCTTTATTCATAGTTTTAATACCATTTGTCCACATCCCAAGAGAGCTGTGTGTATATTGTACTAAATGCGGGTCGATCATCTTAATTACATTTTAACTGTATCCTTAAATAGGGTTTACAGGGTAAACCCTGAAGTATGGTACAGGCAAGATAACAACAGACTGAAATCATCTGTGCAGGCCCCTCTGTGCCTTCGGTGGTTGAAAGGCTTGGTGCTGGTTAGTCTGATGTTCCCAGCTTTGAGCCTGGCTTCACTGGGGTACCTGTCCCCCCAAGGAAGCACATCCTTACGCTAACCTAAGTAATTCCACGGAGTCTCCAGGTTTTCTTCCACTGGGCACTGAGGACAGCTGTTTCCAGGTAACAGCGCACGTCACCGAAAAACAGATCTCCTATATGATGAGGGCAGAAGGATCTGGTGTACCTAACAACAAGTTGGCTATGAAATGTGCCTGTCTGTAATATGTCTTCTTGGTAAACGAGATGGGGCTGCTCACTTGTCTCTCATGGACCATCCAGGGGAGACATCATGTTCTCAAGGAATTAAGCGTCAAGTAGGACCAATCCTTGTAACATACCGAGGCTGACACTGTTCAGATCGGGTTTGGCTGTATTTTTACATCTCTGCAAATTTCAGAAACTGTTTAATTAGATAACTGATCAAGAATCTGTTCTCATATTGCTACTGGGAATTAGCTACCTTTCAACCCGGCGCAAGTTATGTTGGTTGCCTTGCTAAATGATGTTTCCTGGCATCTGCAGAGTGGCCATGGATGGTCAGCCTTACCTTTATCAACCACCTGACCAGCTGCAGAGTCACCCTGGAGCAATGCTGTCTGTGCTAGAGCAGTGCTGCCATCCCCCTGCCTTGAGGGTATCGAGACCCATTCCAGGTAAGCTGTGAAAGCAAGAGACCAGATGGGTCACTGCCTGGGCTCACCCCCAGCGTACGTGCGGAACAGGGCAAGCACTCAACTAGAAATTGCCAACAACAGAAGTTTTTCAAGGTAAGTTGTCCCTGTGTGTGTTCTCCACTTGCTCCTACTGCTCACTCTTTTTAGAATCCAGAAGAAATGAAGGTATAGACAGCTTATAGTTCAGCCCACGAAGGAGGCAGGGCATGTGGGCATGCTGCAGGTGCAGCAGAACCTTCTGTGGAAGGGTTTGTAACGCCTGCCTTCAGCTGTAGCCAGAAGTTAAAGTCTGTTATTCATGGGAGGGAGGCATATCTTACTGGATTTTCATCGGTGGCTGGTGAGCTTCTGTCTACATTTAATATTGCTCTAGTTGCAACCGCGTTCCTTGGAGCCTGTAAAACTCGTGGGGGTTAATTTTATACAAATTGAAATTAATGAAACTCTTCAAAGCTGAAATGAAACCCTGTGGACTGCAGGAAAAAAGGCAATCTAAAAAATGAAAAGGGGAGGCAGCCTTCTCTATGCCAATTGTATTTATGATCAGTGTAAAAATAACATATAAGGCAGTGGGTAATATTAAAAAGAAAAAAAAAAGGTAGAATGCTACTGGCAAATGATTGAAATAGCTACTGATTTACGGTGAATTCAGACCTTACATGCCAGTAGCCTGGCTGTGCATGTTGCACCTCCCAGAGGTGTCTGTCTGTCTCAGAACTTCTCTGAAACGGCTCCATGGGAACCACTGTTTGTGGTTTATGTTGAGACCTGGAAATTACTCCTCATGGGGTGGACTTGTGCTCACAAAATGTGCATCTGTAATACAGACTGGGGATGATTTGGGCTGAATAACATTGATTTTGATACTCCGCTTGTAAGCAACTTTAAATTAGATGTGTAACGATGCTGTGTATGGGCTGCCCACCTGAGAGGGTTCGGTGGTTGTGTCTGTCACCGTTCGTTAGCATTGCTTCTGGTGCGTGCATACCAGAGCCCTTAATTACACTCATGCATTTTCAGACGAGGCTAGTCTTTACGTTTTAGATGTTTTTATTTTAAACCTGCTGATCTCAGGTGGCCTTCTGACAGCTGTGGTGGTTCAGGTGGGAGATTGATGCTGTTTGCTTGGAGAGTTCAGCAGAGTCTTCCAGCCTCCTGGTGAGGCCAGAGGCGGCACGATTGTACCTTCCCTCTGCCACTGAATTGGCGTTGAGTAGTGGAGGATCCCTGGAGGAAGCTGTGACTGGGGATGTGCAATTTGTTAATCTCACCATTCAGCAGGATTTGATCAATGTTGTGACTAGGGATGTGGAGGTAATTGGAAGCAGCTCCTGATGAACTGATTTACAGAAGTCTGCTAACAACAACAGCTTGTGCTAACAACACTGAACATTTGGGAGAAACTTTGTTTTAGAAACATGTTTTGCAGTCTGCTTCTACCTTTACACATGTGAAAATGTTGTTAGATCCATCTTACATTGAAAAAAAGCTTGTTTCCTTCCCATGGCTCCCCCACATCCATGATTCCTCCAAACCGGAAGTGAGTTCCTCTGCTGCCAGCAGTCGGGATAAGATTCTTCTTATTGAAGAAAATAACAGCTGATTAAAACCAACAACAGAGCACAGCTCTTCACGTGTTTCAGTTTAGACTCAAAATGAAAAAAAATCGTCTATGTGTATTTCTGAATACAGAAAGCTCATTCACCAAACCCAGCAAGAGGGAAATCTGAAGGTCAGCTCGTTGGGTGCTCAAGAGGTTCCACCTGTTGTCCTGTTTGTAACGGTGCACGGTGAGGACTGTGGCCAATGTAAATGTTTGTTTTTCATGGGCAGGAGAACTAAGTACCAAAGCTAATAATAGAGTAATACAAGTGTTTGTTTTCAGAAGCTTTCATATGTGTGTGCTCTTTAAAAAGCATCTTTCAAATTTTCTTAGGAATTGATATTGGTGATTAAAAATATTTTCAAATCATCAGTATTACATCTTCAACATAATCAAAAGATGTTTCATTTGATACATTTTAGTTCTTTCTATACTCCCCTTTTTTGCTTTAGAAGGGCCAGTAACAGTCCCCAGAGAGGTCCTATTCGTTCTTCTACTCATCTTCTGATTCCCAGTTAACGCTGCTGGTGTAGGTCCTCTTTTACCTCCTGCCCAAGAGAGAGGAACTGAGGAACGTACATGGCAGTCACCTGCCTCGGTTATGTTCTGTGCCTTGACAACAACCCAAGCTTTTGGATAACATCCCCAAGCCTTTACACAATTATTTTGATCCTTGCCTTTTCAGCAATCATCTTCTCAACAGACCAGGCCCTATCGTGCCTCTTTAAGACCTACAAGACACCTTTCCCCCTGGGCCACTGCTTCAAATGGCATCTTTCCTGATTGGCTGGACAGGGAGTTCCCACACTCCTGTACCCGAGCTCACCGCTTGAGATCAGCACCACCAGCCTTTCTGTCTAGCACCTTA